TGGTAGTATAACACAATTATATACATTGTATAATACTGCATCATGGTAACAGTATATGTATTTACTTTTTATTGTTATTTTAAAGTGTACTCTCTCTACTTATAAAAAGCTTGCTGTAAAACAATATGCCTTGTGCCAGCAGCAGCCTCATACATCGTATGTTGACTTCATCTCTTGATTGCAGTATTCTCTGTGCTTCGTTTAATCTCATTGTTTTGTGCGGTAATGTGCTGTACAGGTTTGTAGCCCAGGAGCAATAGGTTGTACCGTAGAGCCTCAGTGTGCAGTGGGCCAGACCATCTAGATGTGTTTAAGTACACCTAAGATATTTGCACAAGGACGGAATTGCCTAATGACAGATTTCTCAGAACATCTCTCATTGTTAAGTGGCTCATGGCTGTAATTAATAGAGGATAACTGGATTCTCCTATCTACTTGCAGTTAGTTTGTTGCCACCTATCACCCAGCCTCTGGGAAACACTACACTTACGGGAAAATTAGAGCAAAAAGGCAAATAGTATCTTAGTGTTATGAAAATAGTTCTGATCTGAGAGGATCTCGAGAACCCTAAGGGGTCCCCAGACCACACTTTTTAGAACCACCGCACAATGACCTAAACCTGGGATCCTATGATTTTTCTATTTGTCTTCCTTCCCTCAAATTCCTAAATCATAGAGGAAACTTTAGTTTCAGTTCAGTGATAGTGGCTTCATCCCTCCACCCTGTGTATTTTTCTCTTCTGACCTCTTAGCTTCCATCCTTTGCCTTGCCCCTCTGAGCCTGTCCTTTGCTAATGATGCTTATCTTCCCAAATCCCATACCTGCCATACATATCACTGCCTTGTCCAAGTGCAGGTCTAAGTTGGGGCTTCTGTGGAAGGGATCCTTGTCAGGAAAAGAGGTCAGACTATTAGTCCCAGAGGTCCCTTTCAGCCCAAGGATGAAAGCCTGGTCTCTGGTATATATCTTTAAACAAAACCTTCCAGCAGCTCTGCCCTTGAACTCCAGTGCTCACGTGAGCTCACCGCAGCACTGAGCACCCCGAACCTGTGTTCTCCCTCCCTGCTTGGCTGTGAACAGTCTGAGGGCCAGGGACTGTCCCGGGTCTCCTACATCCCCAGCACAGGGCTCATCTCATACTCTGTTCATGGGATCTCAAGTTCATTAGCATCTTGTTTAGGGGCCTCATTCTTACAGTTCGCTCTGGGAAACCTAGTTCTATAGTTTTAAGCTGTCTTTACCAAAGACTTCGCAGTTGCTCTTCTGTGTTCTGCTCTGTGTAGATTGGCCACCCTGACCAGATTTTTTTGGTAGTGTAATTTTCAACTTGAGACTAACACATGTTTCTTTTCCTATTTAGTTCTCCAAATGACAAGAAGTCCTTTTGTTCAATTGAAGGGGAGTGGAATGGTGTAATGTATGCAAAATATGCAACAGGGGTAAGAAACTGTATTTTGCCACTTATTTCAGACTACATTGAATTGTAGCCTGTCCTTCACTCCAGCTTCCTTCATCTGGAAATTTAACCCCTGCTGCCAGCTCCAATGCCATCTCTTCAGGGCAAGCCTTTTCCTTTCCCCACCTCTTCCCCAGCAGGAAAGGCAGTAGAATGATTTTGCTTTCCTCTCTCCTTTCAAAACACTCAAGAATAATGTATGTTCTATGCAACTAATTATTATATATTATATCTACAACTAAAACAAACAATATTGAATATAAACTGTAATTAAAACTTTTTTAATTAAAAAAATAATTAAAAACTTTTAAAAAGAATAACATGCTTAAAAATGCTTGGCACACAGTAAATGTTGGCTGTATGACTAGAATGTGTGGTATGTTTGTAAAATGAAGTGCTAAACTATTTTGTGTTGTATGTGCACAGTTTGATTTTGTGTAAGGAATGCATTGACTGCCTGGCACCAGGGATACAGAAATGAGTTAAGATAGTCTTTGCTCTCAAGGAACTTACAGACAGTTCCTAGTTCCGGTGGGCAGAAGGTGGGATGGGAGTAACAGGAGTCAACAAACTAGATTTGGACTTGGAGAATCTGAAATGTAAAAAGCACTTCAGCATACTCATCATTAGGATTAGTTACTTATGGGTGTAGCTCTCCCATGTACATTCTAAGAATGTAGCATCTAGTCATGTTGAAAATGTCTATTGAATTGAGCCTCTACCAAGACTTAAGACACACAACTACATTTTAAGGCTGAAGATTGCTTATGAAAGTCATTGTCTGTATCATTAACATATGTGGGATTTATTATATCTGTTATTTAATGTCTTCTGGGAAGAGTTGATTCTCTTAAAACAGTTTGAATAAAACATCTACCTACTTCTGTTTTCTAGGAAAATTCAGTTTTTATAGATACCAAGAAGTTGCCTATAATCAAGAAGAAAGTGAGAAAGTTAGAAGATCAGAATGAGTATGAATCCCGCTGGTAAGGAAACAACATAACCACAGCTGTTGATGGGCAAGGCATAGGTGCAGGGCTGGGCTTTGGTGACAGTATAGCAGAACATTACAGAGCACAGACTAAGTTGGGGTGCCTAGTTTCATATGGAGCTCCACCACTGTTTTGTAACCACAACTCTTAAGTTTGCCTCTCTTTGCCTTTTCCTGAAATCGGAACAAAGAGTTGTTGTGAGGATTAATGAGATGAACACGTAGCATATGTATGATGCTTGGCCTATAGTCAGTACCCAGTGTATGATGGCTTATCACCATCTTAGTGGTTTATAAGACATGGCAATGAGGTCCCAACCGAGAGGTGTCTGTCTAGTAAACACCTTCAGGTGGTGTTTGCAAGAAACTTTTTTTTAAATTCCATTCCTAAGTATTTCATCATCTTCCTCTCAAATGACTTTTTTAAAAAACTAAACAAAATATTATCATGCTTCAAGATCAGTTATTCCTTAATATCCTCAAATGCCTAATTGGTATTCAATTTTCCAGTAATCTTAAACATAATTTTTTCCTTTCTCAATAAAATCAGGATCTTTTAGCGGTATTAGGAATCATGCACTAAAAGTTTTTTGTTTAGCCTGTTAAGGGATTTTGTAAGTGAAGGCAGGAGATGTTAGAAATCATCACCCTGCTTGTTGTCTCTAACTTGTTAATACTCTGCTCAGCTAGACTGCCTGCTGGTACTCACAACAGGGGGACTTTAGGCAGACACTCTTCTAGTCCCTAGGAGTCTTCACTTACAAAGTATCATGTTTGGACCAGACCTGTTCAGTTATCACCTTCCAGGCCTTGTGAGGAAGCCAGATCTCTTACTCGGTTAAGCCTCTGTGATTCTCCTCTTGACCCTTACCCTCTATTCACAGTTTCTCCAAGTCCTTGTTAAATCCAACTGAGCTTTTCTGAAATGGAACTTCTCAGCTTCTCTGGTCAAAGTTTATAGTAAAGGGCACTCGAGCCTTAGTGAGGAGAACTGACCCCACCAAAGTTGCATTGCTAATTAGATGTGGAGCCAGAAAAAGAATCCCAGATCTCAGTTCTCACTGTTTTTTCTCCTCTGTTATCCTTACCATATATCCAGCCTTTTGCCGGTCCTTTATTTCCTTATATATCGTCTGAGTCTGTTTTTCTGTTCTTATTCCGGTATCCTGGTGCTAGTTAAAAGGAGATTTAGTCTGTGAACTACAGCACTTTTAAGGGTAGATCCAGACTGTCATTCTCATGATTGCTAATAACTGTGTCCATCTATTTCTTAGCACCTTGACTTTTTTTTTTTTTTTTTTTAAGCCTTTGGAAGGATGTCACTTTCAACTTAAAAATCAGAGACATTGATGCAGCAACTGAAGCCAAGCATAGACTTGAAGAAAGACAAAGAGCAGAAGCCCGAGAAAGGAAGGAGAAGGAAATTCAATGGGAGACAAGGGTAAGCTTGCTTTGGGGAGCCTGCCTGAACCTCCCAACTGCTGTTGCACTTGCAACCTGAGCTGTAACTCATTCATTTCAATGAATTTTGAAGTACCAAACACCGTTTTAAGCATGGTGATGAACAAGATGAATCCGGGTCCCTATTTGGAACTCATATTAGTGTAATGGGAGAATACATAAAATAATAAAACGTATGATATTATAGAAGTACACAGCAAGTGTGTAACTAGAATCTTCCCCTTTCTTTTACAGTTATTTCATGAAGATGGAGAATGTTGGGTTTACGATGAACCGTTACTGAAGCGTCTTGGTGCTGCCAAGCATTAGGTTGAGAAATGCAAAGTTTACACCTGATAACCAGGGCAGTAGGCATAATTAAGCAACAGTCTTCCTTTGGGAGAACCTACGTACTCCCTTCTTATTGCAGTGGTTCCTATCTCAGGGATACTGGACTTTCCGATGCAGATGAACAATTAAAGCAAGAAAAGCTTCCCTGTTTTCTTTTGTGGCAGTTACAGTTTTGACTTCAGTCCTGAGAAAAACTTCAGGTTTTGAAAACATGTCTGCTCCTTTTCCAAACCCCATGCTTTGAAAAGCATTTATAAATCCCAGTCTCATATTCTGCACTCTAGCACTGCTGTTGAGATATACATCATCTGTTTCTTAGTTCATATACTCTTGGGAGACACACACACACGTGTCATATACCTAATGCCAGATTTTTCATAAATACTCCCTTTATTGTACATATTGGTTCCTCTGAGTTGTTTTAGAAAATTAGCGCAATATATTAAAATCAATTATTAGGAAATGTATCTAAGTCTGGATTATAGTTTAATTATACTCAGCGCTTCTTAAGGCTTCATAAAATAATTTTTCCAACCTTTTTTAAATGTGTTTCTTTTATTATCTTTACGGTTAAACTTGGAGCCAATCTGACAGTTTTCAGTACAGGAATTAGCTTTACACAAGGACCCTAAAATAATGAAAGATCCATCCTTTTCCTCACCCCTCCTTTATACTTGGTGCTCTGCTGTTACCCCCAACCACGATGCTGTTCCCCAGAGTTTTCACTGAACTCTCATACAGCACACATCGGGCTACCAAACATTTTATCCAAAAATATTTTATTGCCTTAGAGGTTTTGGGAAGAGTATTTATTTTTAGATCTCTACCCCACACTAAAACAAAATATAATTTAAAAAAATGCCACAACAGCAAATGGCTCATTCTGAAGAGCAATACAGAGCTATCTTTATTTAAAAATACATTAAAAACAACATCATTTAGGCATTAGTATTAGCACCTAACATTTAGGTACTAATAAGACATTGGTTACATAGGGCTGTCATACAGAACTGGATTCTCAAATCTTAGAGGACCAGGCCACCCTGCTAGTTTCTCTCTGCCAGCTGCTACTATAACCCTGGGTTTGTTAGTCACAATAGAAGAGGGAGCAGTAAGTCAAAAATCTGATGCCAGTGCAAAAACTCAATGGAAGCCCTAAGGCCATAGTAGTGTAACTTCATAGAATACACATTTTAAAATACATGATGCTTCATTCAGGCCAACGAGACTGCAGTTTATTTGACTATTTTATGGTAGGGGAGAAGGTTAAGTGTTGATGTGAAAGCCCTAATATCAGTAATGGGGATGGTAGAATCTGTCAGCAGAGGAGAGGCTGGCAGGTAAGTTAGCTGCATCCCTTCACAAGAAGAGTTTGAATCCTCACCAAAAGGGGCAACATCCTCTTCCAGCTCATGCTTCCCAAATCCAACAACCTGAAAGAAGCCAACGACTCATGGTGAGCAATACGCTGACCAGATTTATGCAAAGACCTGTTAGGATCGCTCCTATCAACCCAAATTCAGTGAATAATAATGGCTAAATGACAGTCATACTCACATGAACACTGAGCATTCTACTTCCTGGTCCTCTGTGAGCCTTGAACCAGTTGACTAGGTCTGATTTTGAGAATGACTTCAGTGCTTCAATCTTATTGGAAAGAAAGCAAGCTATAAAAGACTAGCAATACATTTTCTGGAAAAATAGTTCTTAAACTTAACATCCTAATCAGACTTCCTTGGTCTGGGCACATCAGTTTATTCTCCCAACTCTCAGCTTGCCCCCAACCTTCCAGAGAAGGATAAAAATGAGTGTTGGTAACACATTTTCAGGTTTTGCAGCAAAGTCTGACCCCAGCAGATAAGAGAAGGTAAACAGATACTGTAATTATACCTGAGTACTATGCTTAGTGTATACTCTCAGGTACATAGTAGCTATATGCTCTAGCTCAAGAAAAATACAGTAACCATAGAAATGGGTAAAGAGAACTTTATCTGCCCTGCTTCTAATAGAAAAACGAGTTCCTTAAGAACTGGGCTGAAGCCTCTTACTACACCGTTCTACTTCAATGTCCTTTGGTAATTTGCTACATCGGTTATATTATCAGCAAGGGACTGGATTGTAAGACAGCTTTTTTGGTGGGTTGTATTACTTTGTCAAAGAACTATACCAGGAATCATTAAATCTGAATCATTACATTTTCTTTAAACAGAACCCTTTTTGTCCTCACAAATCTGAAAGTGAACCTCAATATGTAATGCAAAAATGAATCTCCTCCCATTGAAACTGGTTGGGGGTTGGGTGGGTAAGGATTAGCATTGTGCTTGCTTGGCCATCTAAGATGCTAAGAGAGGCTAGCCTGGGTGCTAATCAAGAAATGGGCAAGTAAATACCCAAGCCTGGATGCGAGCGCCCCAGGTGTCTTCCACACAATACTGATGTGCTTGAGATTGTGACTCCTACAAAACTGGGAGTCCCAACAGCTCGCGCTCTCGGGAAGCCATGCTATATACCTCATGAGCGAGGCGGTCGAAGAGGTACTGCTGTGTCACCACCTCATTCCAGTTCCTGTCCACCTCCTCTCCGAGATGGGTGTCCTCGCACTCCTTCAACTTGATCAGGGCTGTGACCTGTCACCACCAAAACGAGACCTTAAGGCATGATGTCACACTAGCTCCTCCAGAACACACTTGGCCCTGTCCAGTCTGGTTTGTGACGGACATGCTATGGTCCCTTCACTCGGGACCTGCCAGCATGAGGAGGAGGGACGCAGCTAGGAAGACATTTTAGTCAAAGTAAGGTGGGGTTACAATGTTCCAACAGTAACCAGCACACAGCACCTCTAGGACTGGTGTCCTGAGGGCTTGTGTGGGCCAAGGAACAACAGACCAGGCCAGCTTGGTCAGTCACCTGGGTGTTGAATGCATCCTCAGTGAGGTTTTCAATCTTTTCCTCAAAGCTAGAAAGAAACTCTTCTATCTTTTTATCAACAACTTCAGAGCTGAAACAAAACAGCAATTAAAAGTCATCAGAAACCTGGTCTCAAGTAGAAGGCAAGGGAGAGAATTAAGGCTAAGGTGTATTTCTAGGAAAGAGGCTGAAGTGTTTTCTTCCCAGTCGTCAGTACTCTCCCATAAGTTGCAGGAGGAGGGAAAAGAATGGGAAGAACCCTACCCCCACATCTAGCCCATTTCCAGGTATCATATTCAATCAGTGACAACCATGCTTGGCCACTCCAAAGCTAAGAACCAACAAGGCCTTGTACATTGGTTCTAGTGTGAAGGCCAGGTCAGGCACCTTTGCCTTTCTTGTCCTCAGGTCTGCCTAAAGAGATGAAACAGACAAGCCCTGCACACTGACCACAGGACGTGAGTCAAACCCTAACAGGACCACAGGAACCGCTGATCAGTCCTGGACCAGGCCATCTATGAACAACCAGCCCCTAGCCCTTGCACCTGTGACTATGAAGCAAACCCTATTTGGTCAGAGTTGTCTGATGTTTAAGTTAAATACCTGTAGCCCCTGCTCTCCATGCCAAGAATAATAGTAGTTTGCACACTCACTTGTATTTGGTTGCCTGAGTCCCCACAGTGACAGAGAATCCTAGAATCCCAGATGTGTTCCTACAGGTAGGGTAGACATGGTACCTGCAGCCAAATCAAAAAGGTTTATGAGCTCAGGTGATCACCAGGGTCCTGCCCTCAGAAGCCCTAGAGACGAGGGAAGGGCTTCTGCCTATCTTTACTGGGCCTGCAGATCCATAAATATGTGTGCGTGTATCTTATTTTCATGTCAGGACCGCAGGCTAGCTTTTTCTCTTGCTGATCTTGAACTAGGCCAAACTAAAATCCCAATCATGGTCCAAGATACAAACTCCAGCAGTTTTGACCAGAAGGTACAACTAAGGCATGGAAGTACCAAAGGGCTCTGAGCGACTACTGCTCAGTCAGGATATCTGAAACCGCAGCCTGCAAAGGAAGCCCCAGGCCCTTGTTTGAGCTCAGTGCTCTTGCCAGCAGACTTACCCAAGTGTCTGCTTGGTTCGAAGGAAGTCAAAACAAGGCTCTTCCATGTGCATCTGTAATTCAACATACTACCCATCAGCCCACCTCCTAGCAGAGAAACCTCCATTTCTTCCCCTAAAAGTGTACCTCAAGCCCCCAAAGTCCAGCCTCCCTTACTGCCTTCTTTCTAAATTGCACAGGCCCCCATCCATATTCACAGTGGGTGAGAATACTAAATAACCATTGCATTTCTCAATCATAGATTTCTGATAACTCCCAAGTCCCTATCCCCAGGCAGAAAGGCCAGTCCTCATAGTGGGTCAGGGGCTTGAACACCTCAACTCTTTCATGCAACTCACCACAAGCAGCTCCATAAGAGTATATTCTTTCAGACTCCTGGTACCTGACTGAAAGGAGAAGTTGGTCAGACCAATGGGAAATCCAATGGCTTACAGGGCTTTTTAATCAGCTATTCTTGCCAACCATTTATTCTGGTGTCCATCCCATTCTTCTCATCCCCTCAAACAGTTGATCATACCCTCTACTGCCATACTTGCAACAATTGTGTTTATCCATCTGTCTTTCCATTAGACAAAGATCTGTGAGGACGTGAATCATGCTTGATCATTTGTACTCCTGGCACAGAATTGCAGGCAGACATGAGGATTTGTCCACTTCTGCTCAAAGGATGTATTCAGAGGACACACTAAAATCAAGTACTTGCAGTGTAAGGGGCTAAATAAGTAAGGAAAGCAGGAAATGTCTGAATATCAATGAAGCGTAACTGGACCTATTCCTCAGATGGAGAGGATATGAATAGGAGCTTCTACAGCCATATGCTGGGACCCAAACCAGTTGATAAGAGAAGTGCTTAGCAGGTACCTCACTTGGAAGCCACATCCTGGTTGTCCTGGACACTTGGCAGAATAATGTGGTTAGAATAAAAGAGGGCAAGAGGCCAACAAGCAAGGAGTTTGCTGGCGTGTCCCCCAGCCAAGATCTTGCAGGTTCCTCTGACACAAACTCATTTTCTGTTCTTCCCACTTTACTAGAAGAAGAGCTAAAGCCAGTGCTCCCTGCAAGCCTGTTTTTAGTCAGCAGCAAAATTTCCTGTTTGCCTCTAGAAGGACTGCAATAAAACCCGTTAAAACTTTTTGTCATTTTCCTGTTCAAAATGCTCTCTGTGAAGAGGGCAGTGGCTTGGTAAAATAAACAGTCTGTATTAGAAGCTGCTGCTAAGAAGCGATCAATGGAGCACAACAAACATGGTCTTAACAAACTCGACCTAAAACTGGAGAACTCCTCTCTCCGGGTTCTCAGCAGTCAGAACACTGGCCATGCAGAGAGGGCTAGGCAGGACCAGGCCTGGGGGGACAAACCCAGGTAGCTATAGCCAGGAGGGAGACTGGCTCTGTGAACAAGGTGGGCCTCTCAAGAAAGACTTGGGTTCAGAGCCAGAAATACAACAAAAGGACAAAGCAAGAGTAAGGCCATGCAGCTATGCCCAAAGTCGACAGGGGTCTTCATAGGGCCTGGCAGAGAAGAGATTTAATACAGGGAACCCAAGACCACAGTATAGTAGCAGCTATAGAAGCCCCAGCATTTGAAAAGTCTGAGATCAGTCTAGAAGCGAGTGGGACTAACCACAGGCTAAGGTATAATATAGGCCAATTGAGACTGTTGCAAAATTCTTTTAAGTTCCATCCCAACTCTCCAGAATGGTGTGGAAAGAACACAGGACTTGAGAATAAAAGGAATAAATTCAAGCCCCAGCTGGTATAACCAGGAAAGTAAGGGACTCTGGGCCTCAGATTCATCACTCATAAAACAGAGGTGATAAATCCTCTCTCTCAGGTGCTCTGAAACCTTCCATTAGAGCTCTGGTAGTCATTCTGTTTTGCTGCATACTGATTGCAGAGCTATGTTTACTTTTGCCTCATTTTCAAAACTATCCTTTTAACAAATGTTCTCCTATTGCTTGGGGCTCTGTCAGGGGAACATACAGGAATTTCCAGCCACACTTTGTCCCTCCGGACCAGTGCTTGGGTGATCAATGAAGCACTGTGATTTAAAAAGGATTCATTTTACTGACAGCAATTTTTCAATGTAGTTGCTTCAAGAAGACAAATGACCTCAAGCACAAAACGACAGAGGTAACTTGAAGGCCTTGAAAGTCATAGGGCCACTACTCCCCCAGGCTTTAGTGCCCTAAAGGTAATTAGCCATAAGGGTGGCTGTGTGCAAAGGGCCCAACTGACCTGGTAGTACACAGTGACTTCAGAGTTGGCATCACCCTTGTTCAGAGCTCTCACTTTGCATAGGTGGTGGCCAATGGGCAGTTCTACCACCTGGAACTGCACAGACATCTCCTGCTCCAGAGGCATGAAGTTCAGCTTGCTGCAAAAGAATCAGTGTGGGTCACTGAGGCCATGCCTTTATCCTCTTACCCCACCCAAAAACCGTGAAAAAGAGGTCAGGCCTTCCACAGTCCCTTCTGCATTGCTGTGTTTACATAGCTGGCTTCAAGAAAACCTATCACAAGAACCATCTGCAGACTGTGGTTTACTAACAACTGAGTTGTGGCTCAAGGCCCTCCTGCTGGTGAGAACACAAAACTCCCAAAGAGAAGACTCAAACCAATACTCACTCAACAACATATTTCAGGAAATCCATAGATTCCTAGGAGGCAAAAGAGAAGAAATAACTACATCAGGCTCTCTTGACATTAATTTCACCCAGAACCAACTAATATCAATACTCTAATTGCTTGGGAAGCCCTGGATAACATTAGGAAAGCAGACATAGTCTGTAACCCAAAATGCTGGGTACATCATTCATTGACTGGGCTTATCATTCACATGTTTTAATATTATGTTTGTTGAACATTAAGGGGCTCTCAATTGACCGGCTCCTCTCTGTTCTCCCTTGGCACTCTGCTCACCTGTATGTATGTACACTGTGACACTTTCCCCACTGGATCAAACTTAACTGTCCAGTTTACCCCACTAGTCTGTGCCCTCTATGACAACTGTGACTGTGACTTAGAAACCTGGAGCCTGGCACAGAGTGAGCAACAGAACAATACTACTAAGTGAATGCATCTCCTCCCCCTCATCTCTCAAGTGGTTTCTACCTGGGCAAAACATGCTACTGAGTCTGCTGGACCAAAGGCCCCTGCCCAATACTGCCACTGTGCTCAGAGCAGCAGGCAACTATTCCTACTCTCCTCTGTGAGTTGAGGCTTTAAAACTTCTTTCCATGAACAGGACAGAAACAGGCTGGTTTGGGGTTGTGGGATGAAGACATAAAGGGGTGGGGAGGATAGCAGCCAATCTCAAGAGTATCCATTTATACATTGCATCAAAAGGCCAGTCCTGAGAAACTGGGAGGCCATGGAAGATGGTCAAACAGTTTAGGAAAAGTCCCGGCCAAGTACTCTTGGCCAGGAGAGGCCTCAGTTAGTTACAAGGTCCCACAGACATATCCAACTCAAAATATATCAAAACAAACTCCTCATATGCCCCCAAACCTACTATGCTTCCTCTTCCTCCAACCCAGTGGTTCAGCAAGAAATGTAGGCATCATCCTAGATCCCTCCCTGGCCCCTCACCTCCACATCTAATCAGTCACTCAACTGTGGCCATCCTCTACCTCATTATTTCTTAAGTACTTCTTACTCATTTATTTTGCTTAACCTCAGGCTTCATCATTTTTTACTTCAACTTTGTGTGTGTATAAAAACATTAAGTTTACCATCTTAACCACTTTTATATGTATAGTCTTCTAGCATTAAATATATTCAAAGTGTTGTGAAACAGAACTCCAGAACTTTTCATCTTGCAAAACTTGAACCCTGTACCCACAAAACAATTCTCTCCCTTTTTACTTCTCCCAATCCCTGGTAACCACCATTCTACTTTCTGTTTCTATGACTTCGATACGTCATACAAGTGAAATCATACTTCATATTGATTTTTGCAACAGCCTCATAACTAGTCTATCTGGGTCTTAATGACAAATCTTTTAAATCCTTCGATGATTCTCTACTTATTACAGGATAAAGCCGAAGCTCCTTAGCTTCATATACAAACTTGACATGTAAGTTCTGCGTATGTGTATATGTATATATATACATATATATACAGCTTTCACCATCCCCCAGGTCCCACTTTAATTTCTAAACTCTTCGTAGTTTCCATACACAATCCTCAACAAATGTAACCAATACCATATATTTATCAAACTCATTTCACTCAAAGTCCTGGTCCATTACCAGCATCCATCACAAAAAAGTCTTGCCCATTAGAGTGGCCTGGTTCCCTTATAAATAGACTATGACAGTGTTGGCTTGTCATAAAATACAGAGCTTCAGAGAAGAACTAATGCAATTCCAGAGCCCACAAGTGGCATTCAGACCTGGCCAACAGTGACAGAACACCTCACACTCACTGTGCTTGTGACATTTCCTTGTACCAGGCCCTCAACAAAGAGCTGGGATTTGAATTCTTTGACAAAGCTCAGGAGAGACTCAAGGGAAAGGCCATCCATCAAAGCCCGGTACTTGTCAATCATAGACCAACGGGAATATTCCAGAATTAAAAGCCGCACATCTCTGTAAAGAGGGCAGGAAAAAAACAAAATTTTGTTGTAAAATATGAATCTTGAAAATAAAGAAGGATTTGGTTAAATTTCTACAAATGATATACTTCATTTTTTTTTTTTAAAGATTTTATTTACTTACTTTTAGAGAGTGGGGAAGGGAGGGAGAAAGAGAGGGGAAACATTGATAGGCAAGAGAAATATCGACTGGTTGCCTCTTGCACATCCCAGCTGGGGACGTGGCCCACAACCCAGGCATGTACCCTGATTGGGAATTGATCAGGCAACCTATCAGTTTGTAGGATGACACCCAACCCACACCAGCCAGGGCCAGGTGATATGTTTTAAAGAAAGACAATTTCTATCACAACTTAAGATAGAGAAACAATCACAAAAAAGCATTTAAAATTGTATACATAAACTGTTACACAGGTTTGCTTACTAGTGCAACTTATTTGCCAGTCACAGTTGCAAAATAAAATATTTCATATAATTTAAGTTGCCAGATGAGTCACACACCAATTTAAAATTATTACTATATTGATTTAAAATCTAACATTTTACCAGTCACTGGAGGCCACCATTATGGATATCTATTACTGACCTGAGAGTGTATTACCGGTTGTAGCTGCGGGCTAAAATCAGACTGACCCTCAACCCTTTTCTTCCCCGCACTAAGTTGTTTAAACTTGGCAAGTCACCTAACATATGTGACTCAATTCCTTCATTTGTAAAATAAGGAAATAATAATGTGGTTTTGGTGAAAATCAAACACATATAAAGTTCTTAGGTCTAGCACATAACAAATCTTCGATAAAAAGGTGTTATTATTATTATTTTACCACATTTTAATAAAGTAGTATTCAGGAGTAACTGCATACACAGGGCTATTTTTCAACATATCAATAGTTCCAGACAACTCTCCTTCCCAACTTACATTTGGTTTTTAATTTTCGTAGGTTTTTGTGATCAGATTATCAGTTATTACTTGTCTGACTCTTAACTACTTCTTCCCGAACTTTGGTCATTTATGGTCTCATTATAACTGTCAAAGGCAGGGCCTCTCTATCAGATTGTGCTGTTTACCATTTATAGGTGTCCAGCAAGGAGGTCAAGTAGGGGCTTGCAAACCATGTGCACAAAGGGCTATGTCTGCTCAGTGGAATTTTCCCCCCTCCCTGCTGATAGAGGGTACTTCCAAGGAGGTGATTTTTCTCAATTCACACAAAGTAAACTATAAGCTATACGGGCTCTGATGAAATGCCCAAGGGGGCTGCCTATTAGCAAAGGGTTTAAGCATTAGTACACAGGCTGTCCAGAAGCCTTTATGCTCTCTTCTGGAACTTCTGGCTGCATTCTCGATAGCTGCAGTTGCTAGTAGATAAAAGATGCGTTTAAGCAGTTTAACTCAGCTACTCATCACAGCACCCAACACACTAAAATCACCATAGTAAAACATCACCAGCAAGCAATTCTGAACTACAACAAAGCCAGCACTTAAATGTTATTTACTTACAAACTTTGGAAAAACGCCCTTTTTTACCTTCAGCCTCTAATTAAGTATAGTAGGCTACTTTCAGTCCTACTTACACACAGCTTCTTTAGCTAGGTTTAGAAATCCTATAATCCCATAGACTGGTTTCATAAACCACAGCACAATTCTAAGAAGTCTGAAAATTACCAGGGAAACTATAGCCTCAGCCCCCACCAACTAACCCCTAGGAAGGCAAATACTTTTGAGCCTTCAAAATAAAAGCTGTTCCCATGCAGACCTACTTGGCCAGAGTCTCAGGCTTGATGAGGATGTTAAAGTAGGTCTTCTTCAACTGCTCAGTTATCATTGTAAAGACAGCTGGTGTGGAACTAAACTCGGCCAGATAGTCAATAATGAGCTGAAACAGTAGCTAAAAAAAGAAAGAAAGAAACACTTTAAATGAAGAAACATGAAAACTAAGGTTTTTGGGGGGGAGGGGCAGGAGAATGTTTTCCATTGGTTTTTACCAGGGGCCCAACATGGTAACAAGCTTTTGGAGGACAAAAGAGAAGTACTGATGACTCAAACAACTTCCAGGAGCTAAAATCCTCAATAACTGTCAAATTTGGAGTGATGGTTCTTCCATTTTTATAATTTTCATGGGTATTCTTAAACATTTCTTTCTTCAAAATGAACTTAAAAATAATTTTACCTGCATCCCCACTACCCCTAAATGTAACTTTAGTTGAGAGGACATTACATTTACATGTTAATTTTGAAGTAACAACAATTTTCTATATAGCTGTCCTACTGAAACATAAGTCTCTCCCTTAAGGTCTTTTATTATATGCTTCAGTAAGACTTATAGTTTTCTTTAGATAGGATTTTGTTTTTCTCAATATTATAAATAGATATTGTTTCTATTCATTTCTAAGTAGTTACTGCTTCTATAGGAAAAAGCAATTTTGATGTACTGATCTTGTGACCAGTCATATCACAAGTTATTTTTAAAATTTCAGTTGTATCTTAGGTTTTCTAAGAATAGAAACCTATCTTAGATTTAGTTAGGTTTCCTATCATGTGCAAAGAAAAATACTTTTTCTGAAAGGATATGGACTTTTTGTCAAGATGGCAGCACAGCTAAACATGGCTCACCTCTTTGCACAACCACATCCAAAATACAACTAAATTATAGAACAACCATCACTCAAATGGCAAAAACCAAGTTGAATGGAAGTCTGACAACTATGGAATTAAAGAAACTACATCCATCCAGACTGGTAGGAGGGGCAGAGATGTGGAACAGGCTGGTCCCACATCCACGTGTGGTGGATAAAAATTTGGGAGGGATATCTCAGGAGTAAGCAGCCTCAGGCTGACACGAGGCCCCCCAGCTCAGGGTTCCAGTGCCAGGAAGAGAAGCCCCCATAACTTCTGGCTACAAAAACCAACAGGGATTGAATTGGTGGGAGAAATGCTGGAGTCCCAAGCAGTTCCGCTTAAAGAATCCACACACCGACTCACTCAGACTCATTCTCTTTGAGCTCTGGCAATAGGGTAGCAGCTTGAAAGGCAGCAGAGGCATATGGGGAGGAACTCAAGTGTCTGGCATCAAAGTGGGAGCGGGGGGGGGGGGGGGGGGGACAGCTTTCTCCTAGATAGAAAGGCGGGTAGAGACACAGAGCCCACAGGCTGGTGCCGTATCTGAGACTCCATAAACCTGGCTAACACTGTTTGCCCCACCCTGGAAATTCCCCAAGGCTCCACCCTACCCAAATCACAGCTGTTAACAGTAGCTTTTCCATATGAATGGCTGGTCTTGGCTCCTGCTTCACAACTTCCTAAATCCTTTTAAATAAGCAACAGCTGGGCTCAGGGAGCTCCCCAGCACCAGTACCTTTTGCTAAGTGGCACCAAGAACAGGACTAGCAGCCATCTCCAATTGCTCTATAGCTCAGGCAGCTGGGTGCTAACCTTGGCCTGAACCACCCAGGAAACCCCAGGGCCAGCACACCCAGTGGACAGCTACAGACCACATCAGAGCACTACTAACCTGTCCCTGCACAACTGATCCTCCACAGAAGGCAGAGGTTGTTGGTGAGTGGTCATAGCCAACACTTATAGCTGAATGGCCTGGGTAAATCCCTGCCAACAGCAACCAAGGCTCAATTACAAGGAGGAGGGTGTACTCAGTCCTTGAGTACTCAGCTTGGGTGATAGGGGAGGCTGTGCTACTGGATCCTACAGGACACCTACTACATTAGGCTACGCTACCAAGACAGGGAGTCACAGCAGCTCTACCTAATATATAGAAACAAACACAGGGAAGCTGCCAAAATGAAGAGACAAAGAAACATGGCCCAAATGAAAGAACAGATTGAAACTCCAGGAAAAGAACTAAACAAAATGAAGATAAGCAATCTATCAGATGCAGAGTTCTAAACACTTGTTGTAGGATGCTCAAAGAACTTAGGACATCAACAGCATAAAAAGATGTAGTCATAAATGAAGGATTCACTAATTGAAATAAAGAACAATTTATGGGGAGACAACAGTAGAGTGGATGAAGCCAAGAATCAAATCAATGATTTGGAACATAAGGAATCAGAAAACCTCCCCCCACAAAAAAAAACAAACAAAACAAAAGTAGTGTAAGCAGAGCAGCCTCAGGGACAACTTCAAGTGTTACAACATTCACATGATAGGGGTGCCAAAAGGAGAAGAGAAAGAGCAAGAAATTGGAAATCCATTTGGAAAAATAATGAAAGAAAACTTCCCTAATTTGGTGAAGGAAATAGACATGCAAGTTCAGGGAGCACAGAGAGTCCCAAACAAGAGGATGCAAAGAGGCCCTCTCCAAGACACATAATAATTAAAATGCCAAAGGTTAAAGATAAAGAGAGAATCTTAAACATATCAAGAGAAATCAACTAGTTACCTACGTTCCCATAAAACTGCCAGTTGCTTCCTCAGAAGAAACTTTACAGGCTAGAAGGGACTGCAAGAAATATTCAAAGTCATGAAAAGCAGGGACCTACAGTCAAGATTGCTCTGCTCAGCAAAGATATCATTTAGAATTAAAGGGCAGATAAAAAGCTTCCCAGACAAGGAAAAACTAAAGGAGTTTATCATCACCAAACCATTATTATATGAAATGTTAAAGGGACTTATTTAAGAAAAAGAAAAAAATCAAAACTATGAACAATAAAATGATATAGCAAGGACTCATGGACAAAACCAAAGTGGGGAAGGGTTGGGGGGGTGGAGGGAGGGGAAAGTGGTGGGGCGAAGGCAGAGACAAATGTATTTGGAAAAATTAATTAATTAAAAAAAACCAATAAAATGGCAATAAATACAACCTATCAACAATTGAATCTAAAAACCAAACTAAGCAAACAAGAATAACAGATTCATGGACACGGCAAGCATTTTGATGGTTGTCAGACAAGAAGAGGATGTGGGGGAATGGGCCAAGAGGTAAGGGGATTAAGAAGTACAAATTGGTAATTACAGAAGAGCCATTGGGATGTAAAGTACAGTACAGGAACTGGAGTAGCCAGAAACTTATACACAGGAAAAATTGTGTGGGGATTGCCTGAGGGGGTGGGGAATGTAGGGTGGAGGTGGGCAAAGGGGGAAAAATTGAGACAACTGTAAAGCATAATCAATAAAATATAATTTAAAAGAAAGAAAAATACTTTTTCTTTTCCAAGTATTTTTATTTTATTTCATTTTTTTTTTCATTTTAATGTAGTAGCCACAACCTCTAAATTAATGTTGAATAATAGAGATAATTGTGGGTATCCTTGGCTTATTCCTGCTTTTAATGTTCAGCATTTCCCCAGTGTAATATTTGCTGTTACTGTTTTTAAATTAAAATTTTTATTGTGATTAAGTAATTTCTCCTCATTCCTATTTATTAGTAATACCCACTCTAATTTAGCAAATGCTTTGACATTTATCACTATGTCCAAATACAGGCATACCTCATTTTGTTGTGCTTTGCTTTACTACACTTTACCATGGTGCTTTTTTTACAAAGTGAAACCAGCACAAAGATCAACTCCCTTTATTGTGGCACTCACTTAATTGAGGAGGTCTAGAATCAAACCCACAAAACTCTGAGGTATGACTGTTGTGTTTCTCATTTGACCTGTGTCATGATTTATTCATCAACTTCCTAATACTGAACACCAACCCTTTGTATTCCTAGCACGTGGTCATAGTGAATTATTCTTTTTGTTACATTGTTGCATTTAACGTTCATATTTTGAAATGTTTGTATCTACATTTTACAGCTAAAATTCATCTCTAGTTTTATATATTTATATTCTATCTCAGGCTTTAATATTAAAGCTAAGTAAGTTTCATAAAATGAAGAAGCTCAAATACTTTTCTATGGTTTGTATTTTGAAAAGCTCTCCAGGTAATTCCAAAACATATATCCCAAATGTCAACTGTAATATTAGGCTTTAATCTGTTTGGATATTAAGCTAGATTATATGTAAACCTTCGAAGGTTGACAAAATAGTCCATGATGCGTCCTCCTAAGACCGATCTTTGTTCCCTGAGGAGACTAATGGGAACAAGGGTATATAGGAGAGAACTATATTCTTTAACAGCATTTCTGCTAACATATGGAAACTATCACCTCTTAGCACAGATCTAACCTCTGTCAGGTCATTTTCTCCAGATTTTTTCTTGTATGAATCCAGTTCCCCAAACCTTAACATATGTTCTACCCATTGGGTACATTATATTACTTTACCTGGTGTATAACGATCTAACCCTCTTAGCTGGCACCCTATATTATTTCTCCTGCTTATGAAGTTTTTGAAAAAGTGACAATGAAACACATTCCTTACCAAAAGACAAACTACTGGCAAGATATATACCGTTTCTAAAGGGCTCAAACTTAGAACTGAGAAACAAGACACACATACTTAAAACAATGGGATAGAGAATAGGAAGAAGAAGAAAGAATACAAACATCTGACAAGAAAGCATGATAATCCACACTAATAAAGATTACTTTCTATGTATAGCACTCCATGCATAAGCCTCTATGTTTGGTGCCATGGGAGCAACAAACGTAAATATGAAATTTCAAAGCTCTCTATCAGGAAAACAAAGCACTTATACTTACAGGTAGTTTGTGGTTGAATCCTTTCACTCGAATAATTAAACCATGTTCTCCAGCTACCAGCTTATACTCCAGTTGTGCCACATCTGCTTCATAAGCTGGTTCCGCAAGGTTATGGGTGAGGATATTGACAAAGATATCAAAGAGGACCACACTGAGAGTATAAAATGCAAACAGCATCATTAATTGGCTAGAAATAGACATGAAAAGATTTGCTTGATTTAAAGTAAGAAACTTCATTTTTACAAAGATGTTTACTTACTTCTCCAGAAGGTAAAACTACATACTAATTGAATTCAAGGTAAATACTGCCTCCAAAACTCACTTTCACATGGTCATTATAAAACTCCTATCCTCAGCAGTGCATCCCAGTCTTTTTCATCTCATGCACACAAAGAAAGTAGTCATATGTATGCTGCACAGTGGGGTATGTGTAAAAGGCACCAAAGGTAACTGGCCTAAAGGCTCTGGCTATTACTGCACCCTAGGTCTCCTGGCTGACAAATTAAATATCTGAGGGAAAGGATGAGGGTAATGTATTTTTTAAAGTGGATATTAATACATGTTAATGCTGCTTGTCACTTTAAGGTTGGATTATACATGTTAAATGGCAAAGGAATGGAAGAAATACACTATCATTTCCTAAGTATGTCCTATGTTTCAGGAATTCTGGGGGCTCTCTGACCTCCTACAATGCAGCTATCTACAGAAATATATAAGTAATTTGCTAAGAACAAAGTATATGTAATCAGATTCTCTGGCAGCCTCTAAATACAGGATCAACAGATCCACTTAGCCTCATCACAGACTGGAAGCTTACTCAAACTCATCTCTAAGGCACTGTCTGAACCAGAAATTCTACAACTAGCCTTCACTTTCAGCCTGTGTTACAAATGGGTGCTGGAGATGTGGCAGCCACAATGTCATCTTAATGTTTAGTATTGATACAAATAATTTGTTTTGGGCATGGGAAAAATACATAAATGAGTGGCATTGTTCAAGTGCTGATAGAGAAAATGATACAATGATTTAAAGTGAAACAATGTAATTTTCAATAATATTTTTTCTGGAAAAGACGGTAATTGCTTACTTTGCTGCAGACTTCTGTATCAAAGGTGAGATCAGATGGAAACGTATATATGCTGAAAGAAAAAAGATCATAGATGAGAAAATACAGGCCAGAGGCCTCAAGTAGTCTATACATCAATTTATCCCCAGTATCATGCTTTTTTAAAAATTTGAAATAGGCTATTAATCCTTAAATCCTCATTAAATTTTTATCCTTAGGGATCTATAAAATGTAGTATTTACTATTCCAAATAATGACCAGAAGGCACACTTTAATCTACAGAAAGATCAGAGATACAGACAGATACACAGAGAAGCCTACAAATACTCATATTTATCAATACCATTAGTCAGGGAAAATGTTTACATAGGTATACATGTCAGTAACAGTAAGGGAACAATCCAAATGCTCACAAAAAGTTATAGCAGAGCCTTTCCAAGGAAGCTGAATAAATGTTAGGAACATTTTTAGAAACTCTTGTGAGCTATTCAACAAAAATTGAGCTAACATCTTCCCAATAAATTCAAGAATTCATCAGAGCTAATCAGTACAGTTGGTTGAGGTTAGGAAAATGGATTAAATGACAACCAAGAGCACTCAGCCTTTGACTCCATGTTGCTTCAGTAAGTTTTTTTGCAAAGCACAGGAACAGAAAAAAAAGCAACACAGTTTGGGCTACTGAGTTGAAGGATTTTAGAGACTGTTCACTATGCTTCCTCCATGCTGAAAAACAAAATGTAGAGGGAGATATATGGAAAACATTTCACATTTGTAATGCTGGATGAGGCTTTGGTGTCTAAGAATAATTTCCTTCAATATACTCTCATTCTATCTCCATTTTTTAAAAAAATTTTTACTGATTTGATTTTTTAGAAAGTGAGAGAAAAATATCGATTTGTTGTTCCACTTATTTATACATTCATTAGTTTATCCTTGTATGTGCCCTGACCAGGGATCAAACCCCACAACCTTGTTGTATTGGGATAATACTCTAATCAACTGAGCTACCTGGCCAGAGCCTCTATCTCTTTTTATAAATAATGTTCGAAAGTACCACCTGTTCCCTAAGATGGCCAAATACCTGGCTCTGCTTTCATTAAACTGAAAGAAAAATATCTGAAAACAAATTCATTTTAGGCTCGAATCTTTATTCCTAGAATCTGTAGTGTCTACAGGGTTTTTGTGATGGCACAGGAGGGCAGTACTGATCTGACAGACAAGCCTGGAAAAGGTCTTCAAATGGAAAGGGAAGGATAAAGGGAGGCAGACAACCATAAGGAAAAAAGTTTTTTGCTACAATGTGAAGAAAGATTTATAACACTTATTTCACTCCTTTTAGGAAGAGAAACAATTTACCTTTGGGGATTTTAAATTTGTTGTCTTTCTTATACCACAGGCAACCTTGTGGAGTGTTCACGATTTTAACAGGGTATTCTGTCTCAGGACAATCAAAAGCCTTCAACATGAAGTCCGTGGCTAACAAAAGAAAAGAGTTAATGACTCACTGAGGTATATTAATAGGATTCCCAGCAATCTGTTCTTGGTTTCAGAAATCAAAGTAACTTTTCTTTGTGAAATCTGGAAAAAAGTTCTTGAAATAATATCCTTTCTTTATGCAATTAAACATTGCTATTTTCCATTCTAACTAATTTTTTAATGCTTTCACAATTCATTACACTGATGTCACAACCCATTACACTGATTTCACAGTCCTCTAATGGGTTGCAATCTATAGTTTGAAAAACACTAAAACAACCAGAAAAGATAACAATTCCAACATAGACTGAACGAAAGGATCAGCTATGACATACATACAAAAACATATGCTTCAGAGGGTCCCAAGATCTATGTTTAAAGTCCTGTTTTCTCCATTCACCAACTAAATAGTCTTGGACAAGCTGCTTTACTGTTTTGATCCTTGGTTTTCTCATTCAATAAAGTAGAAAACAGTGATGCCCATCCCAGAGTGTTACTGGGCAAATGGTTCTTTGTAAAACATAATGTTCTATACAGGTGCTATTTGTTTTATTAGGACATGGGTGGATTATCTACAATGATTGCTATTTCACTGACCTATGTACTTGTTTTCAGCTGGAAGATGAAGATCTGGATTTAATTCAAAGTTACTTTTCCAAAGTTCAGCCCAAGAGTTTTCAACATCTGTAGAGATAGAAAAGCAAACTGATCCAATCAACAATGCAATGTTCAGAATTCTCTCAATAACAAACCAGTCAACAACTAGCCTTCACAAATCAATTCTCCTTTCTTCAGAGACCTCTGAGTGACATATCCAGGTATTCAACACTCTTGATACTCAAAGTGTGGTCTCATCTGTATTGGTATCACCTGGGAGCTTGCAGAATTGCAGAATCTCAGGCCCCACCCAAGAGGTACTGAATCGGAATCTGTATTTTAATAAGCTCTCCAGGTTTAACATATGTATACTGAAGAAGTTTGAGATGTACTGTTCTAAAAGATAGTCAAAATTGCCCCCAAACTACCAAGACAACAGGATTTTTTCACTAGCTAATAATAAATACAGATAAAATCATAGCAAAGAAGTATAAATAATTTTCATTTGAAAACACACACACACACACACACACACACACACACACACACACACACACAGATTTTTTCCCCTACAGGAACAATCAGATACATTATTAAGGAAAAAAAAAAATTCCCAGGTTAGTCAGATATACCTAAATTACGTATGCCAATTATTAAAAATATTTTACCTTCCATGCTATACTGAGTCCCGAACCATTTCTCCTTGAGGTCACATTTTCCCTCATTAGCACCAGACAGTAGAACAAGATTTGCTTTTTGAGGAATGAGTTGATTAAGGGCTTCAGCAATGACCTAATAGGGAATGGTGTTGGGGGAGGAGACACATACACAACAATAACAACTTTAACCTATACATCTCTGTTAAGAAGACAGAACCACATTATGACACCACATTAGACACCTCAATATCCTAGCACCTTGACATTAATGAAAATTTGTCTACAGCCCATAAACACCCTAATTTACAAAAGTTCATTAATCTATCAGTTGTTTAAAATGTTTCTTGATAATGCTATATAAGAGAGGACACCAAAAAAAAACGGAATTATTTTCTGGAAGATAATTATCTTCTTGTAGTACAGGCTTCCCCCACTAGGCAAGTGTTCTAGGAACCCATCTGTATCAGTGTACCAACTGGTGTGAGAGGCTGCATTTAGCTTCAGTGAAATTTTCTTGAAGACTCTTTAATGCATTTCATGACAGATGATTTAGGAGCGCACCTGCCCACACTGTGCTGAGTATTCAGTTTTTAACCACAAATGGCATGACCCCATGCCCCACTCTTGATTTCACCCTGAGCAATGTTTTTTGTTTCCCAAATGAAGAAAGTCCTCGAAGGGAAATGTTTTGCCAATGTGGAAGAGCTGAAACAAAAAATGGCAGAAGCACTAAAAGACATCAAAATTTATGAGTTCAAAAACTGTTTTTAGTAGTAGAAAAATGCCTCGATAGGTGTATTGCATTAAATAGAGTACTTTGAAGGTGACTGAAGTTTAAACATGTAAGGATAAAAACACAATTTTTTTATAAATAAATTCCGGAGTTTTTGTATCCCCCATCGTGTAAACAGTAGTCATCTCAAATTGTACATAGTAACAGTACTAGCAGTAAAAACAGCTATTGCTAAGTTTTTACTGTGTGTCAGATAATGTTTAACATGTTACCTCATTTAATACTAGAAACAACCGTAAGGTATACCAATACCTTCAGAGGCTAAAGGTAAATAAACAGCTTCAGAGGCTAAAGGTAATTTGCTCAGGTGAAAGATTATGTAATCTGTACAAAACAACACAGCTAGAAGTGGCAAAAATGAAGTTCTAACCATGTGTGCGCATGACTCCGAAGACCACAGTACTCTTAACTGCCCCCTCACACCCAAGAAGCAGTAAAAATGATCCCATGTAATGCCTACTTCAATAATCCTTCAGCTATGATAGGACTAAAACAAGATTTGACGGGTTAGGTTTAAAATGCTAACTACCCTTTAAACATTATTTCTTTGAGAAAAAAGAAACAAATGGTGATTCAGAAAAAAACACTTGGACCCTTGGGCACAACCATCCTAGGGAGATGGCAAAAATGTGTGGTCTTCTCAGCCTTAGCACTATTAATATCTTGGGCCAGATAAATCTTTGTTGTGGGATGCTGTCTTCAGCATCGTAGTATGTTTAGCAGTTTCTCTGGGTCTGTCCACTAGATGCCAGGAGCAGCCCCAGTTAAGACAACTGAAACATCTCCATATATGAACAAATATCCCCTGGGGGGCAAAATCACCCATGGCTGAGAATTGCTACCCTATATGGAAAAAAGACTTATTGCCCAGGAACAGTGGAGGAAAGACCCTGACCAACTTTTTTTTTTGTATGTAGTATTATCTATAAATCATATGTTTTGCATTCAGGGAATCATATTTTTCTTGTAAATATTTTCAAAATGATTAATATTTAATTAAGCAGCATCTCCAACTGAGTCAAATGGTAAGCTAAACCACTTTCTAATTATGCTTACAAACCAAAGCACATAATTTTGGGAACTGCTTTAATTATTTACGTAGATGTTTCAACACTTTAAAAAATGGTAAGAGTAGTACCTAAGAAGAGGGCTTGATTTTCTCCTATTAAAACACAATCATATACAAGAAACATGAAAAATTACACACAAAACTACTGGTAATTTTTCTATTTAAAGAAACAAGACACAACTAAATACAGTTAAGCTTTCTCCATTCCCACAGTTCTTAAGTACTTTTCTCCACTTTCTCACCCTCCTCTTTCTCCAAATGTAAGTATTAGAAATGGAAACCTCCTTACTTCTGGCTTGTATTCAAAAAGAAGCTGATCTCCTGTGAGAAAGTCCTGCAGTGGGTACAGCTGCATGTTTTCACACATGTTTTCCACATACTCAACTGGATCTGTCTGTAAAGAGGTAAAATTATTTCACATTAGAAACTTCTCATTATTATCCTTAATTTGCCACAAATACTTTTTCTCTTTAAAAAAAAAAAAATGAACCAAAGGCTTCTGAACAGATAAAACCAAACTTAACGGTGGTTAAAAGACAATGATCGTCAGAATTCCAAAAAGATTAACCAGAGCAACTAACACCCTCCGATCCCTGACCTTGAGGCCTGAAACACACCAGGCTCTAATCATGCTCATGTCACAGCCTCTTCATGAGAGCAATTATAAGACTGAACTGTAAGTGCCTATTTGTATGTTAAGTGTCCCCACAGTGCTGTGAGGTCCCTAAAGACAGGGTCTTCATCACTTTATCACTGCTGCACTATCACCTAAAAGCAATTTGTAACCATGAATCAAATTACTGTAAAAATAAAAATGTATGATTAGATAAAAATCTTGATATAATGTTATATTAATCAGTATGTTATTTCAATTTAAACCACAGTTCTTTAACCTATACAATGGAAATACTCTTTCAGAAGAAAGCAATCAATTCAAGTATTTGAGGCCCCAGATGCACAGAATCTTGAACCAAGTGGAACCAAGTGGTTCCATTCCCACATTTTGTAATGAGGATATATACTCAGATGGATTAGGTGATTTGTCCAAGGTCACACAGTGAGGAAGTAACAGGCAGAGTAGATACTGGAACTCAGGCCTCCTACACTGCAAAATACCACACTGCCTAGTCCTTTACTAGAGAATATGTGTTTTTCCCTCATCTAATAATGGAAGAGAGAAAACAAGTGAAATAACTGCATTCATGCAGGAGAAGTGAGACTAGCATACATCACATTAGAGATCATAGGAATATAGGATAGAAACAGAATAAGGGAAAAGGAAAGATTCATTGTTGGCTACGTCCTTTCCCACCTCAGGAAACATTCCTGAATCAGTAAGTTAATTAGTAACTAAAGTGTTATTATTGTTTTAAATGACTCCTCCTACTCTGCTTTAATTTTTTAGCCAGTTATTTTTACCAGCCATATATATATATGTTAACTTCTCTAATCCATATGCTACAAAACTGAGTGATTCAAAATCCTTCCTATGAAAATACACTAAGGATCCTAGCTAAAAGCAGATCTTTGGTGCCAAGGCAATGAAGATGGTACTAGGAAGAACTTAAACACTACCCTTTAATTTTTTTAAAGATATAATTCACATACCATCAAATTCATGCTTTTAAAATATATAATTAAAAACAAAAAATAAATTGTATGATTCAGTGGTTTTTACCATATTCACAAAATTGTGCCACCATAACCACTATCTAGTTCTGTAACATTTTTATCACTCCAAAAGATAACTGCCCACACCAATTAAGCAATTGCTCCACATTACTCACGTCCCTCAGCTACTGGCCACTGTCAACTTGTGTTCTGTCTCTATGGATTTACCTATTCTGGTTATTTCATATAAATGGAATCATATAATATGTGACTTGTTGTGTCTGCCTTCTTTCATTTAGCATGATGTTTTCAAGGTTCATCCATGTCGTAGTATGAAATAAGTAATTAACTTATTTTTAATGGCTGAATAATATTCCACAGTATGCATAGTCTGTATTTTGTTTAACCATTCATTCACCGATGAACATTTGGGATGTTACCACCTTGGGCTACAATGAATAATACTGCTCTGAACAGTTGTGTACAAGTTTTTGTGTAAACATGTTTTCAATTCTTTCAGCTATATATTTAGGTATGAAACTGCTAGCTTATATGGTAACTCTATGCTTAGCTTTTGTTTTTAGATTTTATTTAATTTTAGAGAGGGGGAAGGGAGGGAGAAAGAGAGGGAGAGATCTATGTGGCAGAGAAACGATTGGTTGCTTCTCAAACACACCCCAGCTAGGACCAAACTTGCAACCCAAGAATGTGCCCTACCTGGGAATCAGACCAGTGACATTTCAGTTTGCAGGGCAACATCCAATCACCTAAGTCACATCAGTCAGGGCTATGTTTAACTTTTTAAGGAACTATCAAACTGTTTTTCAAAGCAGCGCATCCTCACCAGTAATGTATGAAGTTTCTAATTTGTCTACATCTTCTCTAACACTTGTTATTGTCTATCCTCTAATTTTTTCATCTACTACAAACTCTCACTGTCTTCCATTATTGTTATTTTGTTCTTGTTTCTCTGCCTACAGAAAAGCACTGAAACAGCTTTTCTCTAGTTCAAATAGTTGACCTATACAACATACTGAGTCCAGGTTCCTATGTAAAATATAAATTTTTAAAAAATTTCTTAATTTAAAAAAAGACTAGTTTGAAAAGGGCATTCCTATTTTCCTTAATTGATGGAGATTAAAAAAAGTCTGAAGAGGAAACATTTCAACTTTGTTTAAAAAGAGTATACATAACTGTCGAAATAAGCGCAGCTACTGGAGTTTGTTTAGCAGTTCATATAGATATGGACCTTATTGATTTGTTCTGATTTTCTGGTTTGGTTTTCATTTAAGGTATTTTGGGCTCATGTTTTAAAATCTAAGTAAGTATTCCTGAATATTGCTAAAAGTGAAAGAAATGAGCTATAAAATGCAAAGATATCAGTAAACAAAAATCTTGAAATGCCTTGCTAAGAAGGAACTGAAAGGACAGAAAAAAAATGTCGTCACTCACTCAACCAATGCTAAAAAGCAAATCCCCCCAAAAGGAACTTGGGTATCACTTATCACTATATTCCCCCATTCTTGTTTCCACTCCTTCATTGCCATAGTTCTGGCTCACATGTTGCCACCACAGCTGATAAAATCACTCCTGATAAGGTAGACAGCAGGACTTGTGGATTCCGTGCATATCAATCGATTAATAGGGAGGAAAAAAGAGACAAGATGGCGGAGCGAATGGAAGTCACACTGACTTCCTTCCAGGACCCTCTGGGATAACAACTAAATTGTGGAGAAATCACCTAGAACAAACAACTGAGCAATAGTGAGAGAGGAGTCTTATAACCTCGGACAGACAGAAGAATCAGCTTTAGCACAACCTGACTGGTAAGGAGTGCGATGGAGACTCGAGAAGGCTAGCTGGGCGCCCAATGGTGGCAGCACAAGAGGGATATTTAAACTGCCAGTTGGATACCCCTGAGAAGAGTGGGGTCTAAACCATAAGCAGGGACCCCCAGCCTATAGCACTAGAGCCCAAAAAGTACACAGATAACAGCCAGCTGCGAAAAGCAGCAGGTCTGCTCTCTACCAAAGACAGGTAGCTGGAGACACAAAGAGCTATTTAAAGGGCCAACGCATAAATTTTTGTATGCAGCCACTTACCCTGGACTCTGGCAAAGGGCGGGGCAGAGTGGGCTAGAGATGCCTGAGGAGAGACTGGGGAAGGACACTTTGGGGAGAAAACTGAGGGAATAGCCAATGGGATCCTGGTGCTGACTCATCCCCTATATGGTAGTAGCCATCTTGCTCAGGCAGATCACTCCCCTGAGCAGCAGCAAAATGAGAGGACTCAACAGCCCTGCCAACAATGAAATATCAGAATCAGAAATCAGGGGAAAAAATCCCATTTGCTATAGCAACAAGAAAAATAAAGTACCTAGGAATAAACTTAACCAAGGAGGTAAAAGACCTGTATGCAGAACACTACACAACACTGAAGACAGAAATCAAGGAAGACACAAATAAATGGAAGCATATGTCAGGTTCATGGATTGGAAGAATCAATAATATAAACTGTCCATACTACCCAAAGCAATTTATAGATTCAACACAATCCCTATTAAAATACCAATGATGGACTTCACAGAATAGAACAAACATTTCAAAAATTTATATGGAACCATGAACAACTCCGAACAGCTGCAGCAATTTTGAGAAAGAAGAACAAAGTAGGAGGGATCACAAAACCTGACATCACACTACATTACAAGGCCACTGTAATCAAAACAGTCTGGTACTGGCATAAGAACAGACACATAGATCAACGGAACAGAATAGAGAGCCCAGAAATAAACCCGTGTCTCTATGGTCAATTAGTATTCGACAAAGGGGGCAGAAGCATAAAATGGAGTAAAAATAGCCTTTTCAACAAATGGTGCTGGGAGAGCTGGACAGCTCCATGCAAAAAATTGAAATTCGACCACCAATTTACACCATACACAAAAATACACTCAAGATGGATAAAAGACTTAAATATAAGTTGCGACACCATAAAAATCCTAGAGGAGAACATAGGCAGGAAACTCTCAGATGTTCCACACAGTAAAATTTTCACTGATATGTCCCCTAGAGCAAGGGACATAGAGGAAAGAATAAACAAATGGGACTTCATCAAAACAAGAAGCTTCTGCACAGCTAAAGAAAACATCAGCAAAATGAAAAGGGAACCAACCGTATGGGAAAGTATATTTGCCAATGATACCTCGGACAGGGCTTTGATCTCCAGAATATATAAAGAACTCACACAACTCCACTCCAGGAAGACAAACAATCCAATTAAAAAATGGGCAAAGGACCTGAACAGATACCTCTCCAAGGAGGACATACACAGGGCCCAGAGACATAGGAAAGGATGCTCAGCATCACTAGCCATAAGAGAAATGCAAATTAAAACCACAGTGAGATACCACCTCACGCTGGTCAGAATGTCCATCATAAACAAATCAACAAACAACGAGTGCTGGCGAGGTTGTGGAGAAAAGGGAACCCTAGTTCACTGTTTGTGGGAATGCAGACTGGTGCAGCCACTGTGGAAAACAGTTTGGAATTTCCTCAAAAAGCTAAAAATGGAACTGGCTTTTCACCCAGTGATTCCACTGCTGGGATTATACCCTAAGAATCCCAAAACACCAATTCAAAAGAACCTATGCACCCCAATGTTCATAGCAGCATAATTTACAATAGCCAAGTGCTGGAAGCAACCTCAGTGCCCATCAATAAATGAGTGGATCAAAAAACTATGGTACATTTACACAATGGAATACTATGCAGCAGAAAGAAAGAAAGAGCTACTACCCTTCATGACAGCGTGGATGGATCTGGAGAGCATTACGCTAAGTGAAATAATCCAGCAGGTGAAAGACAAATACCATATGATCTCACCTGTAAGTGGAACCTAATCAACAAAACAGACAAGCAAGGAAAATAGAACCAGCAACATTGAAAGAAAAAAGAAACCGACAGTAACGAGAAGGAAGGAGGGCAGGGGGTAGAACGGAGAACAGAAGGGGAAGGGTCAAATCAAGGAACATGTATAAAGGACTCATGGACAAAGCCAAAGTGGGGAAGGATTGAGGGTGTGAGTCGGGGTTGGCTGGGGCAGGGGAAAGTGGTGGTGGGAAAACTGAGACAAATGTATTTGAACAAAGGAAAAAAAAAACTAAGGTATGTTTACATAATGGAATACTGTGCAGCAGAAAGAGCTCTTATACTTCACGACAGCATGGATGGAACTGAGAACATTATGCTAAGCGAAATAAGTCAGGCAGTGAAAGAAAAATTGCATATGATCTTATCTCTAAGTGGAACCTAATCAACAAAACAAACAAGCAAGCAAAATATAACCAGTGATATTGAAATAAAGAACACACTGACAGTAACTAGAAGAGAGAGGGCAGGGGGATGATGGGGGAAAGAAGCGGAAGCGTCATCATGGAACACGTATAGAGGACCCATGTATAAAAGAAAGAGGGGAAGGATTGAGGGTGGGAGGTGGGGGGTGGCTGGAGCAGGGGAAAGTGGTGGTGGGAAGGTGGAGACAACTGTACTTTAACAACAATTTTAAAAAATGGGAAAACACACCCTTCAAAAATAGTACTGAGTGACGACGAGATAGCCAATCTATCAGAGGAAATCATTTTTGGTAATGACAAAGAGGCAGGTTCTAAGATGCTCTACAAACTGGTTCTAAGTCACAGGCTCTGAATCTAGAGTCCATAGGAACCTCCCACAAGGTATCAGTGGACAAATTCAGGAGGGGTTAGTAGTGCAAGAATGTGGTTGGAAAGAAATTACATATTTTCACTAATCTCTAATTTCTCATTTTTATTCAGTTATAAATATGGCAACAAACCACAATAGTATTAGTAGCATCTATGACTTTAACCAATAGAAATCACAATATAGTTGTAGATATCTTAAAGTATCACACACATTGCTATTTGAAAACTGTAGTAATTATCAGACCTACCACCAGACCTTCCTATTTAATACATTAATAAAAAGATTGTTTTATTATTATGAGTACTTTATTTCACTATTCTTTTGTAAACTAATGCATTTTATTTTATGCACTTCAAAACACTATTCTATGAACTGTGTAATAATTAACAGTATTGTTTCATTGTTAAATTGTCAGTGTGGCAATTTTAGATTATGTAAGAGAATACATTTGTTTGTAGCAGATATATGCTTTAAAATGTACAGATAAAGTACAGTAATATCTACAATTAAATCTCAAATGTTTTGAGAAAAAAATACACAGCCACACATACCTATACAAAGAGAGAGAGAAAAAATAAAATATGGCAAAATATTAGCACTTGGTGAATCTAGGCGAGGGATACACCACTGGACTGCTATGGCTGTTTTTCTTAGTTTAAAAAGTTGGAGGGATAAAATATTATTCTGAGGAGGAATACACAGGATTAACAGAATTCCAAAGGGATTCAAGGCACAAAATGCTTTAAAAAAACTTTTAAAATCCTTACCTTTCAGTTTTATGTAATACCTTCCTTTCATGTACCCTATACAACAGACATGTAGGATCATTACCTTTTTTACAACTCCAGAGTTCCTTACTTATGTGTTTCCTATTGCTTAGAATGTATCCAAACCATATCCTTTTTTAAACCAATTCAATTTACCGTATCTGCAAAACCTTCCCTGGTCATATTCCAATCAAGAAAAATGCTCTCCTTACCGTGAAATCCCAGAATGCACTGTTTCTAACATTATATATTGTTACTACTATTTATTATCTTGTAGGATGTCTTCACAATATTTGAATTCCCCAAATATCAAGTACCATAGCAAGCTCTCCGAGTTTATCAATAGGATAGACAGATGGATGACTATATATCTATGTATCTATATATATCTACATATCTATATATCTACATATCTGTATATATTTATATAACTACATATCTATATATATATAAAACACAATACGATCTGTGTCAGTTTGCCTAATCCTTCACCATTTCTCAGTAAAAATACTCAAAAATATGAGAGTTAAATTTTCAGATAGACTCAAGGCCATCTTGAGACTCGCATGACAGAAGAGTAGCAGAATTAAAATTCCAATGACATTTCCCAAAAAAGGAACAATGGCCCTGACTGGTGTGGCTCAGTGGGTTGGGTGTCGTCCTGCAAACTGAAAGGTCTCAGGTTGATTCCTGGTCAGGACACATGACTGGGTTTTGGGCCAGGCCTCTGGTTGGGGGTGTGTGAGGGGCAACCTATCGATGTTTCTTGTACGTTGATGTTTCTCTCTCTTTCTTTCTCCCTCCCTTCCCCTCTCTCTAAAAAAATAAATAATTAAATAAAAAGAGGAACAATGTCCACACCAGTTTTGATCTTGGTCACATAAAACATTCAAAAAGAATTTGACTTCCAATACCTGTTCTTGGTAATGAAACTCATTATCCTCAATTTTCTGAATCTCTTCAAAAATTCTGTGAAAGAAGAAAATTATAATTAGAAGACATATTTAAATTTCTCATTCAAATCATCAAGGAAATAGAAGCATAGCCCTGGCTGGTGTGGCTCAGGGGATTGAGTGCCAGCCTGAGAACTGAAGGGTCGCTGGTTCGATTCCCAGACAGGGCACATGCCTGGGTGGTGGGCCAGGTCCCCAGTGGGGGGCATGTGAGAGACAACTACTCATTGATGTTTCTCTCCCTCTCTTTCTCCTTCCCTTACCCTCTCTCTAAAAAATAAACAAATAAAATCTTTAAAAAAGAAAAGAGAAGCATAAAAATAAACAGATTGGCCATTCACATGTAGACAATAAGAAAATGGAGCCAGTAAAGGAAAATAAGCAGCAAATGCCTAACAAATGATCAAAGCAGGCCTAAAACATGTCTACTGGCAGCCTAAAAGCTAAAACATACTAGGATTGACTTCTGGTCTAATTCTAATAAGTATGTATTACCTTTTATCAGGGCCTAATGTCTGCAGCATTTTTAAATACTGGAAAACAGTATGAGCCACCTAAGAACAAAACACCTGGTTACATTTCTGCATAAAGTGATATCTATAAATAAAAAACCCTCCATTTTAATTCTTTACCTCATAGAAATGTTCATAACCCTCATCAGTCAATGTAATAGAAATGCTGAATACTGAGTAAGTAGAATTTTGCTCAAAGCCTGTCTCACCATTTCCACCAAATAATGCAAGGGCCCAGCACCTACAGTTAGAAAAAAATTTATCCAATCAATGTCTTGGAACTGATAGCCAACAAATACATCAAATTAACAAAATAGGTAAGATTTCTATGTAAAATTTGGGACATTCAGCTTTTGATGCAAACATGTTTTCCAACAGTAAGTTTAAAAGCACAAATTTTAAAAACACACAGTCTCCCAAGGAATTGTAGTACATGCAGTTATCACCAGAAAGAATAGCCATATTTATCTGTTTATTAGAAACACTAATATATATTACAAAACAGTAAAATATTGTTTTATGAAGCCATAGTAATTTTTATTGAACAGCAAAATAGTAAAAACCTAAAATAAAGAGAGAGAAAGCCAGAACAGAGTTGGAAATTCTAATAAAATTCAGCAAGGTAGAAAGGTTATGCTCATCTCAAAGCATTTTACATTTACTGTGTAAGGCATGTAAGTACCTAATAGCATTACTCTTTTATAATAACCATGCCCTCTCAACCTTCCTTGAATGTTCTAGTACACAATAATGTTTTAAAGTACTTATTTAAGTTTCTCATTTACATTTCATTCTTGAATTAGTGTATAGAAAAAAATCAAACAAATAATTACTTTAATGTATTGGTCCTGATGCTAAAGCTCTATCATTTGGCTAGACAACTTAAACAAGTGCCTAGATACATGAGGAATCATTCTGCTAACACACCTGTATATACTGTTCACAGTCCCGCATGCTACAATTTATCTGCCCAAGGAAGCTCCCATTAGTCTACCTTTTGGGAGAAAACTTGGAGATTCTCAGCATTTAGATAACTGACTTCCTTACTATTCAAATCTAAAGTCTTGGTTACAGCTAACCTTTTATGTAATTCTGGACTCTATTAGCCTATGATTTTTTTTAAATTTTGTGTACAACTACTTGCAACAGGGGCTAAAAACGGGCTTCCAAAAAAAAAACCCCACACATATAACACAGCCATTCAAATAATCTAGGTTATTAAAGTGACTGTAATTAAGCATTAGATTTGATTCTAGGCTCCTGGCAGATAAAACAAAAAAAGAATGGGTTATATAAATCTTATTGTTTTTCAGAGATTGCTAAAATTCAGTAAGTGAATACTTGCTTTTTTCTAAGGTAAGAAAGAATGCTGCCTTTGCCTTCATGTCCGACCAACCAAGAGATATAATGAAGTGGCTTCACCCTTTTAAAAAAATGTTAAGGTCAGAAATTTTAAAAAGTACAGTATTAAAACACAAGAAAACCGTATTTCTGAGACTGCACTATTTGAGAATATAATTATAAACTTATTCTCACATAAATCCCACTAAACATGAAATTATAATTAATTTGATAGTAGCAAGATAAAGACAGAAAACATGGTAAAATTTAACTTCATCTGAAATCGCTGAATGAGTATAATCAATCCAAAATTTAAGACTATTACTTTTCCTCTCAGACACCAAACTTACTTCTTTGTGGTAAAATCTTTGATTTTTGTTTCTCCCAAAATGAAAATAATACAGATTCTTTATCAATTTAGAACCTAATGCAACATAAATCATTCATATCTGTAAAAGCTTTCAGTATTCCATCAGACTGTGGTAAACTGCAATGTGTTGCTTTAAGGGCCAGAATATCTAATTTATAGTTTTAGCATTTCCTTTTAAGTAAATGCTCTTGAGCAAAAAGCTTAGCCTCTCTCTATTTTTTTCCCTCTTCACTTACCTAACTACTTACTCATGGGGTTTTCATGAAAATGCAGTAACAGATATAAAAATGCTTTATTATATAATAATATGTTTTAATAGTCTGAGTGGTTGTATATATGTTATCATATTGTCTTTTCCCACTGGCTTCTACTATAATTTCAGAAATATATTCCTACCAAAACAAAATATAGAGAGGCATATTGGGTTAGGAAATCTAAACATTCTTAAATTTTAAAGTTACTTCATAGAACTATATACAGTAAACTTTTAAAAGTCAAGATATAATATTATGACTTCAACTATGTTAAGCAATCCCCAAAGCCCACTCAACATTGTTTAAAGTCTGAATTTGAATTACATCTACAGTAAGGCTGATGTAGGGGAGCAAATCAGTTAAAGAATGAACCCAGCTGATTATGTGACATTTGTATCTGAACAAAGCTAACTACACTGTAGTTGATAACTACACAGTCACAGATAAAACGGTCACTTCTTTGTAAAAAAGGGGCTCCCACAAAAAACTAATTTACTGGGAATTCACATATTTGGGAATGCAAAATAACTCATGATGAATATCACATTAAAACAAATTAACAGTCCAAACAGCACAAAATTAACAGCACAAAAAAAATAATAACTGGAAGGAAACATACAGAAATGTTAACGGTCTTTGGAAAACAGAATCATGAATGACTTTTTCTACTCTTCATTATTTTTCAAGATTTCTACAATGAATTACCTCAATATTCAGTCAGAGGATAAACAGGTTTTGTTAATTAAGAAAATAGAAAATGCAAAAAAAAAATGTGTTTTATATTCATTATTTTAATGTCTGAACTATATAAAATTATTGATATTAGGCATATCTTTGAGGACAGAGACCAAGAAGCAGAGCTTTACTTTTTACTTAATATCCTTTTGTCCTATTTTAATATTTTATAAGCATGTATTATTTTTATAGAAAAAATTCAAAACAGATTAATAAACTTTTAAACATGCATGTAATAATTTTAACACTTTGGGGAACATTCTAACATAACTATACAATCAATTTTTATTTTTCATATGTTATCCTTGCATAAGCCAGTAGACAGTACATGTTCTCTGTCTTCTTACTGTAAACATTCTGGTCTTATTAATTTTATGGGACTTCAATATTTGAATACTCTATACATTTTTTAAAAAGCAATTTTTACTGAGATTAAGCAATATGCATTACTTTCATTCCTTCTGCTTATATGTGTATCCTCCTGGTTTTGTTTTGTTGACGGTAGTTTCTAAAAATAGGTTAAATTTTTATCTGTTTATTAGCATTTGTTTTTTTTTTAAAATAGCATTTGTAGGTATTGGCTGATCCTTACCTTTAAGGAATGTCTGGGCCCATGCTATATTACTCAAACAAGATAGCTATATAAATAAGCTGAAATGTCCTCCTAATTTGTATAAATCTGCCCTCATTTATTCCCAATTCATAGGAATAAGTGCTTGAGACTTATGCTGTAGTCGTATTCCAAGTTCAAAATTATTTACTTTTGACAAGATCAAAATAAATGGTCACAATTGGCAAATAAATAAATACATTTTGTACTCAAAGGACTAAAGAAAATAATTATAATAGTATTCACATTATGATACTTGTTTCAAAGATTCAGGAAAGACAACCAGTAATAAGAAAACTCTAGTTTTTATACCCAAGAAGACATTAAAGTATGTAGCACTCTTGCAAAATTTAGTAGTGACGTCTCAGTTTATCACATTACCTGTGTTTATACAATAAATCCAGAACCCCCAAATTCAAACCATTTAATATGCTTTAAAAATATGACTGTCACTCAGTAATTAATGGAGTACATCTGCCCTTGAACTCTTACCTGTAATGTTGCTGTTGAGGAGGAAGTGCCCATGTGATGGTCAGAGCATGAATTTTCCTAATTGGAACAACTAAAAAATATTTTTCAGAAGAACAGATATAAGAGTTTCTCCATAACTTTTACTATGTTACATGAAATTTTTTTAATTCAATAAATTTCATCTTCCATTAAACAGGGGAAGGTTAAATACAATGCAATTATTATTTCAAGTTGCCAATTTTCCAATTTGAATAATGTAATTTTTGTGATTTTCGTCTCAATTTGGGTTCACATGTAGAGAAAGCATGGATAAAAGAACTATCAAAATATTAAATGCTTCTAAAGATGGACCCCTTCTTGCAAGAAAGGACACAGGACTAGGACTCAGGAGACCCATGGTTGAAATCCAGCCCTACCACTATCTTGTTATATACATGTTTATATAATCTTGAGAAAAATCACTTGCATTTAAATCTTTCTGGATCTGTTTTCTGATGGTAGGTGACTGGATTAACTAAAGTAGCTCTAAGATTCTTCCCAGTGCTATTATTCTATGACTCTATGAAGAAAAAAATCTAACCCCAGAAAGAATACAACCAAAAATAAGTCAGCTTAGCTGTGGAGCCAGCCAACAGTAGAGAAAAGGTATGACAGAAAAGTCACTTATGAGAGGGAGAGAAGAGAAAAGAGACTGGTAATGGGGCAAAAAGAGAAGAAAGGAATACTTAGGCAACTAGGATATAGAGGAAAAAAACTGCCATGATAAAAAGAGCAAAGAAAGAGAAATAGTGAATTCAAAATGTTCTGCAATATGTGTTATGGGGAAATTGCTAAGTAAATTAAGGTATAATTATGTGATAGCTCACTGGACAGTTATTATAAATGTAATATTAAATGAAAAAGGAAGAGATAGAAGTATATATACTTTATAATCTCAGCTACATTAAGAAAATATATCTATAAAAACTCAAAAGGAAATTTGACAATGACTTCTCTGGATGGTAAGATTTAAAGGTGATTTTTTCCTCCTATTGCTTCACAAATTTTTCTTCACTTAACAAAAATGGTTTTTATGATAAAGATAAAAGGAAACAATTTCCAAAATGTTTTCCCCTCCTCTATTTTTTCTTTTTAAATGCAAAGAACAAAACAAAACAAAACAAAAAAACAGAATATAGATTAAATGAAATAGAGAAACAAACAAACCAACCCCCTCCCCCACCAAGAACAAACGGGAACAAGGGGAAAACAGGGAGAAAGCATGAAACAGACTCAAGTAGCAGCAGACCAATCTATCTGCTGCTAGTTAGTGGCTAACTGGATCTCCACCATCCATCTACTCCCTTTCCAGCCCAGCTGTACTTTCTGTTGTGGTCTCATTTTTGAAGAAAATTGGCAGCCTCAATTAAATTTTAGAGAATGTGCTAAAGTTATTTCAAACAGTTTTAAACCTTTGGTTCACGAACCTCTATAAAGTTTGTTAAATGCTGGTGTGTCAAATGGATCCGTTAAATGGCCAAAGTTTGGTTTGGGTAACCCACTGAAAATAAAACAAATATATTAAAATTTAATTGGCAAAAGCCTTTATAAGCAGTATCTTTAGGGATGCCTAACTGATAAGTATTTATAATTTATTCTACATACTCCTGGCTGAAAAGCATTCTACACATAAGTGAATAGATGGCAATAAAGCCACAAAATCCTGAACTGCACAAGCTATTCTTAACCTCAGCCCCAGTGACTCAGGTATCATTAAAACTCACAAAAGATATAAAACAATAAAATAAAGGGACATTCCCTCCCAATATTTACTGCCTCTCTCAGCACATTCAATTTCAGTTGTCCTATACAAAGTCATTTGAGAAAGAAAACTTATGCTAGAGATAATTTTTAAATTCAACAAACATATATGGAGTGATTATTAGGTATAAAGCACTATATTAGGAGCTTTGGTATTTATAAGACTTGACTCTCCTCCTAGAGGCTTCCCATCTGGTTAAAGATACTGAACTAATATTTCTTCTAAAACATGGTCAATATGAATCAATATTAAATTTCTAGAAGTTTTAATCTTTTTGATTAGGAACCAAAGTTATTAGTGAATAATATTTTTAAAAAAAATTTTTTAAATGTTTATCAGGAATTGATAGGACCTAAAGAATTCCTCTATTAAATTATACCTCTGATTTTATTAGTAAAGTTTCACAGTAAAATATGTTTCAATCTGCCACTTGACATTTCCATAACTCAGCGATTTTCTTATTAAAGCAAACAAAAAAAAATAAACAAATAAAACCCTGCAACTTTAGCATGGCTTTCATTATCTTTCCATACATAAAAATTACTGCTAATTATCAACATAAATTAACATAAAGCCAAAATAATAATAATAATAGTTGTTATTACAGGTTAGTCTAACATTTTTAAAGCTAATTTTTCTTTCATAAATCTACAACAAATTATATCTTGAAATGAAAAAATGGAAAAAGTCTAGCATACTCACCTGATGCAAGAAAAAAATCTGATGTCATTTATTTTACAAAAATGCAAACTCCTGCCCTAGCTGGTGTGGCTCAGTGGGTTGAGCACTGACCTGAGAACTGAAAGGTCGCAGGTTCTATTCCCAGTCAGGATACATGCCTGGGTTGTGGGCCAAGTCCCCAATTGGGGGAGTGCAAGAGGCAACCAATCGATGTTTCTCTCAAACATTGATGTTTTTCTCCCTCTCTTTCTCCCTCCCTTCCCTCTCTCTAAAAATTAAATAAAATCTTTTTTAAAAAATGCAAACTGCTAGGAGTGGGAAGAAAGACTTAGTTGCTTCAGAATTAATAGTTGTATTCTTTGCAACAATAATATAACAATAAAGTGTCAAATATTTGTATTATTTGATGAATTTGAGGTACACAAAAAACAGCTTTCTGAACTGGAACCCTATACAATTTCTAACAAAAGATAATTTGGTTCAACTATATGAAACCAGCTTTTCAGACAATATGGGAGTCAATTATCATCTAAAAGATTATTTCTTTTATGAGGAAAAGCATTTCAAGTTCCAAAGAAATGACTTAACATACTTTCAGAAGGCAATCTGTTGAGGCAGGCGAATGAATATATATATATATATATTCATTCTGCCTCTCAATACTTGTTTTCACATCACAATTTCAAACACTTTCCACAGTAAAAGAAAAGCTCTGAATAAATGTAAAAGACAAATTCTTCAGAATTACTGCATATTGTAAGTTTACAAGTTTATAAATTTTGAACTACATAAAATATGGAAACTTAGGTTCTCATCTTAGTTTTCTCACTCAAAAGCTGTGCAATCTTGCTAAACCACTTTAGGTCTTCATGATCTGTTTAAAAAACAAACCAAAAGAGAAAAAAACCTTTGGAACTCATACAAGCAGATATGGTCTCTTTAACTCTAAAGAGGTATAATTTATGAAAGTAAATGTCTTACTTGTTTGGTATCTGAGAGAAGATTTCAGTAACCCACTTTTCCAAAGTATCCAGTGTTTCTTGGGAGGGAGGGAGGGTGGGGAGGAGACAGGAAAATGCAATTAGATTTCTCACAGACCTTTAGCTACAAAACAAAGGGACCTTTAATTTGGGTATATAGGGCCAATTCCTATGTATGTAATTTCTGTCTTACAATTCTTTTCTTACTATCTCATAGAAAAATCTTTTGAAATTTCTAGTAAAACTGGAGATTAAAATGAAAAAGTAAATCTTTTAGCTTTATGTATCCAGTGGTTCATTTTAGTTCATCAGACATATGAATTTCACTAATTCTCAAAAGAGATACCCCAGGATATGAAACACAAAGTGAAAAGAATATTAACAAAATTCTGAATTTATTCTATACTATTTATAGAGATATTTAACTCATAAATGGTGTAATAAGTGCTAAACCTCCAAAATCAATTGACTCTATAATGTACAAGGTTCTCATCAAATATCTGTGCCTATTTTAGAAATTTGCAATAATTATTAATATGCTTTTATATTTGTAACCACAAAGGAAGAGAATGCAAAAGAAACAATAACTAGTTGAAGAAAAATGCATGTTCATTACAGATTTCAATAAATAAAAATTATATATTAATTTTGCATACTGAATATTAAACTGCATATTTTAACAAATGTAAAAGAAATCTAAATGACCACTTCTAGTTTGAACAAAAGAATCTACCATATCATATCCATAACTTTACACTGAAGTTAACTTTAGTGGACTAATCTTGATCCTAAATGAAAAAAAAAAAAAAGTTTTATATTTAAGTGTCAAGTCAGTTCTGATCCTCATTTTGAAAAAGAAAGAACAAAATTTTTAAAAGTGAGAATATTAGCATAAGAAGATTAGTTTTCAAAAAATAATATGTAAACTTATAAGGTATATTAAAAGCAACAGTTTAGCAACTCATTGACTTTGAAAAATAGCCTAAGCTGATTGAAATGTAAAGAAAACTACCGCGATTTCTTTAATGAGAAAAAACACAAATTACTGAAGATAATGATAAAAGAAGGAAAAGAGTAGAGGTACTGATCAGTATTTTACAATTTAAGACACATCTACTGTCCTAGTATCACCACAATGGAATTCAATTAATCACTCCATTTTATTGGACCCTACATGAAGATGAAAAAGACAGACACCCTCCACTGTAAGAGTTTATAATCAATATGGATTAAATTCAAATGAGAAATAACAGAGGCAATAGCTGAATGTGGCTCAAAAAAATAATTTATGACTTATTATTACATTAGTATACTCATACTAGCTTAGAGGTAATCTACATAGAAAAAACATTTGCTGATAATCAGATGATTTTGTGCTTCCCTGAGCTTATCCACTTGCTGTGTGACCTCTACAAATTCTCATCTCCTTTAGTTCATAATTAAGATTAAGCACTAAAGTAATTAACGGTATACTCAATGCATCATTGATCATGGCAAACAAATCCAAAGAAAACACTACTTCAGAGTAATTTTAAGGACCATAGTAGGTAATATTACCTTTGGATTGAACCACTAAAGTCATGTAATGAGCAGAGTAATAATGCATCCAGAAATCTCTCAGCCTGGTGTATGTATCAATATTATTCTTTTTTGGCTCATGTTTGAGAGTCTCAGCATTTCCTATAAAAAGATGAAAAATATTATAGAAATAAATTTTGCTCTGTTCAAAGTCTCTATACCAATAATACATGCTCTGCTACTACACATAATTAATGAAATAACCCAAGTGACTCAAGAACATTGAATCAGTGTATAATAGTAATAATATTGCCATAAGACAAAAATTTAGAAGAAACAATTTCAAAGTATATTTAACACATAAGGAATTAATCTCTAGTTGGTGAAACCTCAGCCAACAGTAATTGCCTTAAGTTTTCTTTCTAATAATTAGCCTACTATTCAATTCAGCTTTTATCTCTGAATTATTTTAATAATATTCTGCATAATTCTTAAAGATAAACCACATAAAGCAAGGATGTAATATATAATGTTTATAGCTGTACAAAATATACATGGAAGCAAAACATTCTTTGAATGGAGTACCAATTCAATCTACTCATCCCAGATTTGGTCAAGAAGATTAATATCAGGCTGTAACTGATTCTAATACTAAGAAAAAGCCATCATTAAAAACAAATACCATTTAAACAGCTTACCAATTAAATAAAATTAGGTCACAGATCAAAAAATATTAGAGAAATCATTGCTGGATCTCTGTTGATAAATGGAAATGTCAGGTTAGGGTAGAGCACAGCCTTTACAGTCAGATAAACCTAAGTTCAAATCTCACATTCACCACTGTGTGATTTAAGAAAATTAAATAACATCTCTTAGTGTGTTTCTTTATCTTTAAATAGAAACCCAGCTCATCATATTGTTATGATGATCGAATGAGATAATTTATGTAGTGTTAGCAGAGTATCTAATACCCAAAAAGCATTCACAAAATGTTAAGTTTTATTCTTCATATAGTCAATGTCAGAGTACCTAATATAGGCACGCTTAACTACTTTGTATTTGAAAATGTAAAATGTACCTAGCTACCCTACCTTTATAATTTTCCATTCTTTACCAATTTTTCATAATCTCAATATTCCTAAACTAGAAAATATGAAATAAGATGAACTATTTAGTATCTTACCCCAGAAAAATTTCCCCATAGGATGTCCAGGTCTAGCAAGGCTTCCAAACAGCATTTCCTTTCTGTTTGCATCAGAAGGTCTTGCAAGCTGATATTCTGTCAGTTTTAAAGAAACACATTTAATTACATGAAATTCAGGATCTGCTATATTATCTGAAAACTTAAGCTTAAAGAACTAAAAGTAGGGAAGTAATAAAAATTAATTTTATGAATCATGTGTTATAAGACTGAAGTTGAAAACTCAATGATATATAAGCCAGCCTCTATGATTTAACATCTTTATAACTTTGGGTAGTCAGTTCACCTTTCTAGAGGTTTCCCCTTGTTTTCAAATACAACAAGGTAGTTAAGGATCTGAGGGTTTAAGCTCTAGGATGCCATGTCAAGATTTTACTGATGAAAGTGTTAATAAAATGCGAAATCAAATTCCTTATTACCTGGGAACTTTGTCATATGTTCTATTTAAATTTTTTGCAAAGCCAACTATGTTGGTAATTAAGTATTACTGGTTAAGAACGATCACTTTGAAGTCTGAAATATCTTGGCTAGAATCCACACTCTGCCATTTACTACGCTGTACTGCCTTGAGGGAGTTATCCAACTTCCCTGATTCCACTTCTGCATCTATAAAACGGAGTCACTACTCCCTAGCTCTAGTTGCTGGAGACAGAAATGCAGGCAATTAAAAACGTGAATGAGATGAGAATGATAAAAGAAACCCCATCACATCTGAATAGAAGAAAATAATACTTGATTACTGAGCTTTCAAAACTGGTTCATCAATACTAAAGTAGTTTATTACACCAACTAAAATTGAAGAGCTTTCCCCATCACCCTGAACTCAGGTGAATTCTTCAAACTTAGAGGGTTAAGTGACTAATGACATGTACCGAGCTATTTTTATCAGATCGTAAACTGAAACTAGGTCTCCTATCATCCAAAGCAAAAATTAAAAAACAGAGCCTTTAGCTTAAGTTCATCTTAAAACAAAACTACTTATATGTGTATATATGTATATGTATGTATATACGGGAGAACCTCCCCCAAAATGGAATTATCTTTTGGCTTCCCCTGCTAGATGAGTGTTCTAGGAACCCATCTGTATCAGCATACCAACTGGCATTGTTGTGAGATGCTGTGTTCAGCTTCAGTGAATTTTTTTTGAAGACTCTTTCAACACACTTGCCTAGCTCATGATGGGTGATTTAAGAGCACACCTGTCGACACTGTGGTGAGTGGGCAGCAGTTTTTGACCAAAAGCAGTATGAACCCCATGCCCCATACTCCCAATTCACCCGCTCTCGCTCCCAGAGACTTTTTTTGTTTCCCTAGATGGAAAAAGTCCTCAAAGGGAAACATGTTGCCAAAGTGGAAGGGGTGAAACAAAAAACAGCAGCAGCAGCAGCAGCAGCAGCACTAAAAGGCATCAAAATCAACAGATTCAAACACTGTTGTGGACAGAGGAAAAAAAATCTTGATAGGTGTATTACATAAAATGGAGAGTACTTTGAAGGTGACTGAAGTTTAAACATGTAAGAATAAATACACAAATATTTATAAATTTTGGGGGTTCCCCCTTGTACACATATATATATACACACACACACGTGTGTATCTCTATTTCACCATAAAATTTCAAAATATAATAAAACCTGTGACAAACTTGTAAAATTGAATTAGATGTTTAATTTTTAAACGATTTCAACCCATTCAACACTGTATGAAGAAAAACATACTGAAAACATTTAAAACATAGAACATATTTCCTAGGTCCCCAAAAGTAGGAATTTTTTCCTTAGTCATTTTGTTTTTTCAATCACTCAGATATTTATCTGAGCTTATGATAAAACAGACACTGTGATATGAAAGTAACAAAAATGAAGAAAATAAATCCTTGGTTATAAGGACTACTAAAGTTAGGAGGAATCCCACCCACTTGTTACAAATAAATTTAGATCAACAGTTAGTGACATTTCAGTAAGTAAAACACAAGTTGGCTGACTTCCAAATAGATGGCTCTTGACAGTCATCTGCAGTTTACTCAGCTTAGTGAATAAAATGATGTTATCAGACAATGAATCAAATCAAGGAGGAAAATAATGCAAAAGGAGGAACAAGTACAGAGACCTTGCCTCTTCGGTTGCTGCAAGCCAAGCCTAACTTATATGAACTGGAAGTCCCCCCAAGTCTAGTATTACATTTTTCTAACGCTCAAATAAAGCAAGCTGGGTTAACCCGCAATGAAGCTATTTATTAGTAATGTGTAATTAATCAATATTTTTAGTACAGCTCTATAATAAAGCTTCACCCTGTACAAACACAGTTTTCTTTATGGTCTTCATCCTTTAAATCCCAAAGATAAGAAAAATTGTCAAAAAATAACATTAAATACATTTCCTGCTCAGGAATTTTGTTTCTTCATCCATAAATATATCACAATGTTTTTTAGAACTACCAAAATTTAAACCACAAAGCACCTATAGACATAGTAACAAAGGATAAGCTATTTAAGGATCAGGATGGTATTCAAAATAAAGCCTCAGAAAAACTCTCTTCATGCAAAGAGCGTGTGAACTTTTAAAGTTTCAATGCTCTGAATTAGCTTTAAGAATTAGGCTCCTGTACTGGCTAGTTAGCTCCATTGGTTAAAGTATCATCCCAATAAACCAAGGCTGTGGGTTCAATATGTGGTCAGGGCACATACAAGAAGCAACCAATGAATACATAAGTGAACAAAAAATCGATGTTTCTCTCTCTCTCTAAAATCATAAGTGAAACAACTAATCGATGTTTCTCTAAAATCAATAAATTTTTCTTTAATTAAAAAAAGAAAAAAGAACTAGGAGTTTGCAGGAGTTAGGTTCCTGCCCTGCAAAAGATTAGTCACTATGGTAAACTCTTAAAAAACAAAGGCTAAAAAAGTAACAGTCTACCCTACCCCCCTTTCATTTCAAATCTATACAATTACACATTTAATGGCTTCAGGAATAAACATGACACATCAATTTCAAGTTAGTCCTTATTATATACAGATGAAATGGTCTAAAGTGATAAAGAATGATAAATGTGTAAATAAATGGCTGGCAATAAAGGAAAAAGTGGTAGGACATAAAGCACTGCTCTTACCACTATCAACAGCTTCAACTTCACGGTCAATTGCATCTCTGATCATTAGTGGGTGGATGAAGAACTGGGCCCATCTGAAAAAAAACAAAACTGGCATTTCTATTTTTGTTGAATGAAAGCTTTTCTCAGTCAACATCTTACTTTTTAATCAATAAATTTTACTAAGTTGGAGAGGTACTTCATAGTCACGTGTGTAAAATCTAAACAATATTCTGCATTTCTATATTTTAAAGTCTACAAACTATTTTTATTATGAAATTAAAGACCCATGCAAAAAAGTATATAAAACACAAACATACAGATTAATGGAAACTATAAAGTAAACACCTCTGTGGCCACAGCCTAGATCAAGAAATAGACCACTGTCAGAACTCTAGAAACCACTAAAACCCCCTTTATCCTTAGAGTTAATATACCAAACATTATGGTAGTCACTTCTCTGCTTTTCTTTATAGTTTTACCACCAATATATTTTTATATTTCTAGACTAATGTTTCTTGACCTTTTTTATTTCATTACCAACCCCAAGGAGGCTTTGCAAAGGTTTTTTTCCTAGTCACTATTAAATTTTAATACCACAGAGAGATGGTCTGTTTATACATTGTATATCTGTGGTTTTATATATAAAAAGTGTATAAAGCTATTCTTTTTATTCAATGCATGGTTACAAATAATGAAATGACATTTTTAAGTTAAAAGAAAATTTTTAATTTTTTAAATTAATTTTTAGAAATATCGATCTGTCATTCCACTGATTTATGCATTCATTGGTTGTTCCTTGTATGTGTGAACAAAATGTAGTATATATCCACACAATGGAACACTATTTAGTGATGAAGTACTGATACATGCTACAACATGGATGAACCTTGAAAATGTTAAACTTAAAAAGTCACTCACAAAAAACCCACATATTGTATGATTCCACTTATGTGAAATGATGCCCATTTTACAAATGAAGAAATGAGACATAGAGGAGTTAGTTTCCCATGAACCCTCAGCTAGGAAATGGCAGGGTCAGCATTCAATCCTAGGCAACTTGGCTCCAGAATTTGTACTCAGAAACATTATACTATACTGTTTCTCAAAATGAATGGCTTTTGTACAAGAAGTCCCGGTCAATTATTTGAGGTATTCCAAGGCACTTGGCTTAGCCTTAAGTGGCACACAAATTCTACTGTACCTCTGTGCTCCATATGTGGAATCATACAATATATGGTCTTTTGTGAGAGGCTTTTTAAATTTGACATAATGTTTCCAAGGTTCATCCACATTGTAGTATGTACCACTACTTCATGTAATGGCTAAAGAGTATTCCACTGTAGAGATATATACCACATTCTGTTTGTCCATACATCAGTTGATGGATGTTTAGTTGTTTGCACTTTTCTGTTATGAATAATGCTGTTGAGTATTTGTGTAGATAAGTGGGTTTTGAAGCTCACTTAAGAAAAGAAACTTTTAACTAGCTATGAGATATTCACTAAGATATTGTCAACATTTTTTTTCTTTTCAGTACATGGTATAATTGATAGGCTGAATAACTTCTGATGAAATAATAAAACAATATTTTTATTTAATTGTAAAACTCAAAGTTTAATTCTAAAGCTCTTTAATTCTAAAACAAAGGATCAAACTTAAACAACATCCACCATGGCAACCAAGTGGCATGTGCAAACCACCTGTAGCAATGACTTTGAGATGAATCATTTGAAAGTCCTCTCACCATCTATCCACCAGTTTTGTAGCACTCACCTCTCATACACATTGTCTATCTTCCACAAACTCAATGTCAGTGTAAATAGTGCTTATGTGATACTCAAGAAAACTCAAAAAGAAATTAAATAGCAAGCAAAAAATTTTGCTAGGTAGGGCTAAGCTTTGGAGGGCCACAAACCATTACAATTTTCTAACCCCCACCCAAGAACCAGTCTTTGCCACTACAGACATTAGCATCACCCCTGAGAATGTATGTTCTAGACAATATGGTTTTGTTTTTGAACTTCATATAAATGGAACTAAATTGTGTATTCTTTATGTCCAATTTATTTAACTCAATACTATGCTTAAAAAAATTTTTTTAATCCTTACCCGAGGACATTTTTTTCATTGCCCCTACAGAGGGAGGGAGAAAGAGAGAGACATGGATCAGCTGCCTCCTGTATGTATCTGGACCAGGGATCAAACCCGCAATCTAGGTATGTGCCCTGACTGGGAATTGAACCCACAATCCTTCAGTTATGGCAGAACACTCCAACCGAGCCACCATGGCCAGGGAAACACTATATTTTTAATATTTACCCAACATGGTACATGTAGCTGTGTTTCATTTTTTTTCATTGCAGTAGAGTATCACACTGTATGAATTTATTCATCTCTTCTACTGCTGATGGATAATTGGGCTTATTTCACATTTGGACTACTATAAACAATGCTGCCATAAACATTAACATTCTTAAAATTGTGCACTGGAGCACATGTGCACAAGTTTGCATACACACACACACACACACACACACACACACACGAAAGGAACTCCTAGGTAATAGCATATGTGTGCATGTTGTTCAATATCACTAGCTAATACCAAACTTTTTCAAAGTGACTGTACTAATTTTACACTGAATCAACAGTTCCAATTCTGCCATTTCTCCTTCAACTTCACCCTCCCTAGGTATTGTGAGACTTTAAAATTTTTTGCAACTTTTAGTATAGTTAAATCTCCTATTGGTTTCCTTCATATTTTCCTGATTCCTAATGAGGTTGATCACCATGTCATATAGTTATTAATAACTTGAACTTCTTCTGTAATATGCCTGTTTCATGCCTTTTTTCTATTAGGTGGTACTTTTTCTTATTGATTCTAGAAATATATATAATCATCCATTTATATATTATGTAATTATACATATAAAATCTAGTGATTAAAAAGTAACGATAGTTATTCTAAATGTAATGTATTACAAACATATTCTTCCACTTTCCAGTTGTTTTTTTCACTCTTTATAGTACCTCTTAATAAACATAACATGCAATTATTTTTCCTTTATGTTTTGTGCTTTTTGTATCTTTTTTGATCATTCTTATCTAAAGTCACACATCTCTAAAACTTTCAGTTTTATTCTTCACTTTTTGGTCTATAATCCACTTAGACTTGATTTTTTGTATATGTTGTGAGGTATGGAGTCCATCTTGTTTTTGCCATTATAGAAGCCTAACTGTTTTGGCATCGTTTCTTTAAAAAGCTCTTTCACCACTGCGCCATACTGTCCTTATTAAAAATCAAGTGTCCACATATATGTTAGTCTATTTCCAGGATCTCTATTCTAGTCTATCATCTCTTTGCTTAGCCCCATGCTAACACCACAATGTCGCAATTACAAAACAGATCTTAATATCTAGGAGGTCAATTCCTGCTACCTTGTTATTTTTCCAATTCAAAAGTATCTTGGCTATACTTAGCCCTCTGCATTTCTTATAAATTTTAGAATTATCTTGTATATTTAAAAATAAATAAATCTTCTGAGATTATGCTTGTGATATCACTGAAAATGTACATTAACTGAGGAGAACTAACATCAAACTCCATCAAACAGGCTCCAGGGCCAGAGCTCCTTTTATTCTAGTGTACTGTTCCCTAGTGCTCGATCCACTGGTCACCTTTTCATGAAAGCTGAAATGAAAATGTAAGGTGTTGCTTTGTTCAACCTCAGCTGAGAATGTGTGTGTCAGTAACTCAACTTTTTCACAATTTATAAAATTGTTCACATGTCCATGAATGACTGTAAAAACATCATATTGATTTTGGAATTACAAATAAATTGTAGCAAGCATGTGAATTCTCCACAAATAATGAGAATCATTTGTACAAGATTATGTCATATGCAAATAAAGATAGCTTTACTTCTTTTCCAATCTGCATGCCTTTATTTCATTTTCTGGTCTATCAGCCCTAGCTCAAACTTCCACTTCAATGTTAAACAGAAGTGGTGATAGCTGACATCTTGATCCTAATCTTCTAGGAAAAGCTTTCAATATATCACCATTATATATGATATTAGTTGTGACCTATTCATAGATATACTCTTTTATTAAGTTGAGAAAATTTCCTTTTATTCCAAGTTTAAGTGTTTTATTGGGAAGGGGTGGTATATTTTGTCAAATATTTTTTCTGTTTATACTGAGATTATATCTTGAAATGTCATTTTTGTCCATCTATTAATATGGCAATATTATCTTGATTTTTATATGGTGAACCAACCTTGTATTCCTGGAATAAATCCCACCTGGACATGGTGTGTAATTCTTTTTATATATTGCTGCACTCACTTTCACAGTATTATGTTGAGGATTTTTGCTAATATATTTGTAAGAGATATTGGTCTGTAGTTTTCATTATCTAGTTTTGGTATCAGAGCAACACTGGCTTTTTAGAATGAGTTAGGAAGTCCCTCTTCTAGTTTTTGAAAGTACTTATGAGGTATTAGGGTTAATTCTTTAAATGCCTGATAGAATTCACTAGTGAAACCATTTGGGTCTATACTTTTCACTTGGAAAGTTTTGGATTACTAATCCAATCTCTTATTACATAACCATTCAGATTTTCAGATTCAGAGTCAGTTTCAGCAGTTTGTGTATTTCTAGAAATTTTTACATTTCACCTGGGTTATCTATTTGTTGGCATATAATTACAGTATTCCATTATAGTCCTTTCTATTTTGGTAAAATCATAGCAATGTTCACTCTCTCACAATCTGATTTTAATAACCTGAGTCTTCCTTTTTCTTGGTCAGTCTAGTTGAAGGTTTGCCAATTTGTTGCTCAAATAACCAACTTTAAAAAAAAATTCTCTATTGTTTTTCTATTCCCTATTTCATTTATTTCCACTGAAAGTTTAATGTCCTTTCTTCTGCTTGCTTAGATTTAGATTGCTCTTAAAAAGAAAGATTTTATTTATTTTAAGAGAGAGGGGAAGGGAGAAAGACAGGGAGAGAAACATCAATGTATTGTTACCTCTCACACACCCCTAACTGGGGAACTGGCCTGCAACCCGGGCATGTGCCCTGACTGGAAA